TCAGTCAAGAATTGTAAAGTGTTTACGAGAAATTGTGGACGGGCGGTCGGACGGACATGGGTGACGACAATATACGCCCCGACGCCCCCCCCCTACCCCCCCCCCACACCACCATTTCATGTGGGCGTATAAAAATGCGTCACATTAAAGGCTACAGTTTTTTTTTATCAGATCTTGATGAAACTAGGCATGTAGATATTGTATCACATCTCGGTCAAGTTCGAATGAGGCAACTATTGGATGAATGGTTTTTGAGTTATTGCCCTTGATCAGATTTGACTTGAAGACTAATTAGAGGTTACAATTTCAATTTCTTAAGTGATGGAATTTTATCTGATGCAATCAGTTCAAATTAAGTAACAATATTGAAAGAACGGGTTTTGAATTAATTTTTGCCTTTTTTCCTTTCAACTCCAGGGCAGTGTGAATTTGATAATTTTATGTATTTTAATAATTGTTATTGGTTGAAATATATTTGTAGGGAAATTGAGTAGTGCGAAACAACTTTCGTGCATCTCCGGAAATGATAAATAAGTTACATGTGCGACCTCGCGCAATCTCCACATTTGCATGGGTTATCTCGACAGATACCTATCGTTACAAAGCAATGTCAAATTTATTATTTATTTCTCATATAAACACAATGGCGGATTTCAGTTATTACCAAATGTCACAATTATTTATCGGACAAATTTCCTTATAATTCTCAATTGCAAGTGTCATCTGCTAGAATATATTCTAGTGAGTCAGGTGACAAACTAGCGGATTCCAAGTCATCAGAAAAATTCTATGGAACCCAATGTGGGCCATATTCTTATGTTGTTTCAATGAATTTTAGCAATAAATTACTCTTGCGTTTTACTTATCTTATTTTGATACGAATTGTCATTAGTTATAATGAATTGATATTAAAGATAAATACTAAGAAATGATATTTATACCACTAAACAACGTGTTTTTTTCTGACAATAGATCAAACATTGTATACGAAAATAGGTGACGCATTTTGCCTCTGTTTTCGAGTTGGTTACTCATGAAATATGGGTTAAAGTGAGAGATTCATAAAGAAAATCGTATCAAACCAATTTTAATTATTTTATATAATATCCGAAGAAACATCTAAGACAAAATTTTTTGAATAAATTCGGTATTGGATCCTTATATGCACAAATATAGGGTACACCACTGTATAATTAAATTAATGAGTAAAAAAAAATTTTATATCAAATTAAAATAAATTGAACTCAAAGAGAAGAACTGAGTTTAAGAAATGTTTACGAAATGAAATAGAATTTGTTGTTGAAAAGGCATGGAATCCTTATCTGTGATTCTTTACTTGTGACAACCTTAAACTAAGCAGAGACATGGTTTCTAAAGTAACTTTAAATCCACAAACCTGATGTTTTACTTAATACATGTAGTGATAAAACGCGACAAAAACACAAAAAACCTCACGATTATAGATGATCGAATCAGTTACTGTACAGTATTAATTAATCATTATGATTATTATATCTATAGAGAAAATTTGAAAGGCTTTAAAAAGAATATTATTGGATATGTGCATCTCTCTACCAATGATAATTGAACATTTGTATGTTTTCATTGACGAAAAAAAGATATTAGACCTACTATATAATTCAAAGAGAAAAAGACTTTATCAACTTTTGAAAACCTATATAAAATAATCGTTTGTCTAAAAAGTGAAATACCTTTACATGAGTTCCGTTGCAAATCCAAAGAATTAAAAAAAATATCGATATAATAAGGGTTTCTTTTATTAAAACTTGAAAAAATGTTTTGACGCAAAACCATTAGTCTCTGTAGCCCATTGAATTCATTAAAGGTGAGAGATGCTAAATAGCGTAAATGACCGAGTTCATTAAAACGGTTTAGCCAAGGGAATGATTCAATTTAATATTGTTCAAAGTCAGACTCTTATGTCATTTGGCGCATGAATCTTTAAGAAATTGCTTTAATAGGACCATATAGAAAAAAAATGTTTCATTTAATGATGTCATATCTTAACTTCATGATCAGGTCGATTGTGATAAAAATCGTTAAATATACCAAATGATGCTAGTTATTAGCATGACAATAACACATTTCTCGGCAAACAATTAATCTAAATGATCGATTCTATGAAACACTATTTATTAAGAAAATGGGTCTACAGGTTGTACAAAGATAAAGAAAATGGTTGTTCTACATTTAAACAGATAACAGTAAACATGATAAATATGCTTATTGATAAACAGAATGGGTTTACTGTTTGATTACCTAAATAGTCCTATTGACTGTTTAACAATAGATTTTATGATAATAGTTTTACTGACTGGTATATGCATAAACAGGATAGTTCTACTAACTAATAAACAGAGTTAATATGCTGATTGATTAACAGAATGGTTCTACTGTTTGATTAACTTAATAGTTCTACTGACTGCTTAACAGAATATGATATATATGATGGTACATAATAAACAGAATAATTCTACTGACTATAAAAAGATAACCAGAATAGATCTATTGACTGTCAAAAAAAGATAAACAGAATAGTCCTACTGTCTGTCAACCACCCCCAACACTCCCCCTCCCCCAAAAGGGAAAAAAAAGAACAGAATAGCTCTACTGTCTGTGGAAAAGACAGAATAGTTCTACTGACTCTCCCCTCTCAGTCACGCCCTTGATGATAAATTAATCATTTATAAGCAATTTATACAAAAATTAGCAATTTAAAAATTTTTTGTTCAAAGCAATAACAAAATAATGCTAAAACATCAATCGGAAAAAGAAATAACACGTTCTGAGGTAAAAAGTGGAATATTACAGAGAAATTAACACATTGTGTACAAATGTACGCATCCAATTTCGAAAAATTCCTGCGAAGGACAATTTACCGACACAAAGCTCAAAACATTTCAATAAGATGGCTATTCTATCAAAATGAAATAGTTTATCTCAATAAAAACAAACAGCACAATCTGGAGATCATGAGACAAAAAGGCTTTTCCCTTGTAACTCTGAACTAGTCTCAGCAGCGATTTTAAAAGTTCTCAATTGATTATGACCTAGAAATCTGAAACTGGGTTGAAGTAGTATATAACAGGTTGTTATAAATGATACATAGTATAAAATATCAGTGATATACCATGTACTAATATGAACTCATGGTATTTACAAGTGTACAATTGTGCACCCCGTGATCGAAGATCACAGAATATACACAGAGTAATTCTACTGATTGTAAAAAAAGATAAACAGGGTAATTCTACTGATTGTCAAACAGATAAACAGAATAGATCTACTGACTGTCAAACAGATAAACAGAATAGATCTACTGACTGTCAAAAAGATAAACAGAATAGATCTATTGACTGTCGATAAACAGAATAGTTCTACTGACTGTCAAAAAGATAAACAGAATAGTTCTATTGACTGTCAAAAAGATAAATAGAATAGTAAACAGAACAGTTTTACTGATTAACTCCTTTATAGATTATATCCATGTCAATCAGAATTATTTTTGAATTACAATAACTGCCACACATTTCCGTTTCTCAAATGATTGAATTGTTTTGCCAAAAGCAGTAAAAGCAGCATGGATTTGTGTATGCTTGTCATAATCACTGAGATAATTGATGAAAGTGTAGAATATATCTTTTTTTGTGTTATGAATTATACAGATTTTTGACTTAAAATATCGCCATTGGCCATAACGTGTTTTGTTCAGAAATATAGTTAGTTTATTTTCAGATATTATTTGGGTGGTTCCATGGTATTTTCTATTTTATGGAAATACGATTTTTCATTTCATTGAGATCTTAATTGTTTTGTTGTGATTACTACATCCACTGTAAAAGATAGTTATAAAATGAAAAGTTAGATATATTTTGTTTACAGAACAATACAAGAATCATTACAACTGTTCTGTTTGTTTTATATATTTTTTTCATTTCAAAGAAGACGAAATCATCTTAATAACCATAATGTATAATAGTACAATGTGTACGTGAAAAATAACGTCAGAATGTACATATAAACAGTTAATTACACCATTTAGAGATGGTCACGATTAACGAAGAGTGATAATCTTTCAGTATTTATCATGGAATCAGTTTGATCAAGTATTTGTATAACAGAATGAGTAACCAATAGATGAAGAAGAAATCAAACACGGAGAAAATATTGTCTAAAGTCCTTTACGCCTTAGTGAGAATCAGAGCCTGAAGCAGCGATAAAATTGGTTCGAGATATAGATAAAAATCAGATAGATCGGGGTAACTGGAGGCGGATATTGCCTATTTCACAACATTTAACATATAGATAAAGTTTAGCATGGTTCAAGTTATGGCACATCAACGAAAAGGTAAAACTCAGTAAAGCGTAGCTCGTACCCTAGGGCACATATTGAGAGCCGACGAGAAACCCTAATGATAACATCAACAAACCGTTTTACTGTGATTGTCATACGCATGACCCAATTGTTCGAGATTTTGACTTTCTCAACCACCTATATTTGACATTCAATTTTTTTCAGAAGGATTTATTGCAAAAATTAAGGGGATTAATAATTTTCTGAATGAAAAATCTCTCAATGACATATTGAAGTGTTGAAGGAAGAGGATATTTCTATAGTGAATGTTATTGGATAGAGAAGAGGGAATTGAATAATGATTGGCTTATTAATATATACCATTCTATCTACAGCAGAGATTTAATATTGAACTCTAATAGATCGTTCAGAACTTACTACAGCTGAAAATTTTAAAAACCATGCATAAAACGATGCCGGAGCAATACACACTTGCTTTAAGCAGGAAATTGAAAAATGTGAGGAACTGTGGAACTCTATTGTGCCAGAATATACAGGCAATTATATTATTGAATAAATAAGGATGATACAATCTTGGAGAGAAAAGACTGGCTGCAGGCAAAATTCCATTTGAAGATGAAATAAGCAGGTGTTTTGTTATAAATATTAAATTACAATGAAGCTGATGTTTGTATATTGTGTATTATTTATTATATATTTGAAATGTTATAGTTGTAAAAATTGGACTATAGGCTATATCACTACTTTAAATGGTAAGGATAAAAGTAAAGCGGAGGGAAGGAAAATTTCGGGGGCTATGTCTTTAGCGGTACAAAATGTGAACAATGATCCGAACATTTTACCTAATGATACATTAAATTTTCTTTTCGGTGATAATTTGGATGATCCATTCACTAGTGTACGGGTTGAAACCGAACAATGGAAAAATGGTGCTGTGGCTTTTATTGGACCCGAGGATTACTGTGAAATAGAGGCCAATGTGGCCGCATCATGGAATATACCTATGATCTCCTATGTAAGTATGCAATACAATCAAGTCTCTTTTTTGAAAAATTTCATTCTCTGACCATAAGTTTTTGTGTAAAAATATATGTCAATTAGTTAATTTTCTATTTTTTCATAAAAACCTTTCTCATTCTACCATTAAAGCTGTAGGTCTAATACATTAATACAGTTAAAATCAAAATCATTTTACAATGTAAAGATAGGGTTTCAGATTATTTATACAATTAATAAACACACTAAAGTTTAGTTTTCATCCAATAATCCTCAAGGTTGTGGTAAGGACAAGATTATGTTACATTTCCCCAACGATGAGCTCACTGAGCAAAAAGTCGATGTGCCACATGATTTAAAATTGTTGGGACTGCACACGAAATATATAGTGAATAAACCGTTTTAAACAAGATTTAATATACAATGGATACAAGTGAAAATATGTACTCAATAACCAAATAAAGGGGCTTGGGATTTATATATCTACATGCATGACTGTACTGTGACTAACCTCGAATTGTATAGCTGATATCTTACACATTTAGATGGGTTGGGTCGAGAATTATACCACTGGTTGTCATTCACTTCAGCACATTCATTATTGTAAATTCTGACAAAAAAACTTCGTAAACTTCATAAACCAAATATTTATCATTTCAATATCAAAATTACTTTATAAATAAATTGGAATCTGTCGATAAGTCATAGAAAATGAAAATGAAGTGAAAAAGATTTTGAAAAAAGTTTTGTATGACAATTGCATAATTTTTGAAAGAAAGAATTTCAATCTATAGCCTGTCGCGATCAAATAAATATTCTGTTTACATTTTTAAAAATTATGAGAGGAAAAGCCAAGCCTTGTTTTCAGTTGGTTTCTTTATGTCATAGGCATATTTGTAAAGTTTTGGAGAAGAAATGTAATGTGTGAAATTGGTTGGAGTTTAAGTGATTGTGAATTAAATAAAAGGAGTCCCTGTTCCACTGAGAAGAATGTAATGATCTGACGAAATGACGAAATGAGAATTATCTGTTTCCTCAGCCTGGCTGTTGGTCAAATTCATATTTAAGTTGAACGTAGTTGATTCAAAAATAATTAAGCTATTAGATACAAGTATTAAGTAAGTAGTATATTCTGATTTAATAAATGTTTTCTGAATTAATCTGGTGGCTTTAGAACTAAACTAGATAACTCATTTTAGTCTTCAAATATTATCAATGGTCCAGGAATGTTGACATGTGAGAAAAGCTAAAATGATTATTAACTGTAATTTGCGTATGATATTTCCTTACATCTTACAAATATGTTTTTGTAAAGTAGGTCAAAATCATGCAATGTCGAAAATATAAAAACGTCAAGTTGCAACATTTAGGTCAAAATGATCTACACTATTTCAATGTCGACGGAATAGAACCTTCCAAGTTGAAACAAGTAGGTCAAATTGATCCACACAATCGCTATGTCGACAAGATAAAACCGCTAAGTTCAAACAAGAAGGTCAAAATGAACCATAGAATCTCTATGCTGACAAGATAAAACCGTCAAGTTCAAACAAGTAGGTCAAAATGATCCACACAATCTCTATGTTGACAAGATAAAACCGTCAAGTTAAAACAAGTAGGTCAAAATGAACCATAGAATCTCTATGCTGACAAGATAAAACCGTCAAGTTCAAACAAGTAGGTCAAAATGATACATAGAATCCCTTTGATGACAAGATAAAACCGTCAAGTTGAAACAAGTAGGTCAAAATGATCTTTACAATCTGAAAGTCGAAAATATAAAACCGTCAAGTTAAATCGAAAATATAAAACCGTCAAGCTAAATCAAATAGGTCAAATGATCTTTACAATATGAAAGTCGAAAATATAAAACCGTCAAGCTAAATCAAATAGGTCAAAATGATCTTTACGTTCTCAAAGTCGAAAATATTAAACCGTCAAGTTGAAACAAGTAGGTCAAAATGATCTTTACAATCTGAAAGTCGAAAATATAAAACCGTCAAGCTAAATCAAGTAGGTCAAAATGATCTTTACAATCTGAAAGTCGAAAATATTAAACCGTCAAGTTGAAACAAGTAGGTCAAAATGTTCTCTACAATCTGAAAGTCGAAAATATTAAACCGTCAAGTTGAAACAAGTAGGTCAAAATGATCTTTACAATCTGAAAGTCGAAAATATAAAACCGTCAAGCTAAGTCAAATAGGTCAAAATGTTCTTTACAATCTGAAAGTCGAAAATATTAAACCGTCAAGCTAAATCAAATAGGTCAAAATGATCTTTACAATCTCAAAGTCGAAAATATTAAACCGTCAAGCTAAATCAAATAGGTCAAAATGATCTTTACAATCTCAAAGTCGAAAATATTAAACCGTCAAGTTGAAACAAGTAGGTCAATATGATCTTTACAATCTGAATGTCGAAAATATAAAACCGTCAAGCTAAATCAAATAGGTCAAGATGTTCTCTACAATCTCAAATTCGAAAATATAAAACCCTGAAGTTGAAATAATTAGGTCAAAATCATCCACCAAATCTTAGAGATTCGTCATAAGCTCAATGTCGGAAAGATATAAAAACAGTGTTAAAATAATTCGAGAAAGCCAGTTTACAATTTAGAACAAACAAATCGCAATTTCGATGTAATAAAACCCTAGAGTTAAAACAGGTATTACATCAAAAATGTTCTAGACAGAACTCTCCATGTCTAGAACATCCGACATTCATGTTTTCGTGTTTAAATGTTTGTAGGCACCACAGAATAATATGACTATCACGAAATATAATGTAATTTACTTTAATTAAGTTAAAGGGATTGTAAAGAGGTTTTCTAAATTTTCTATCTATATTGGGGACAATGATAGCATCAATTTGCGCCGTTCCAATTTTCAATCAGACGTCTGTGGTTCTAGCAATTGTACTAAAACCAAGTGTTTTATGACGTCGACCCCCTCAAATGTCATATGTTATACAAGTAAATTTTGAGGGGTCGACGTCATGAAACACTAAGTTTTAGTGGAATTGCAGGTACCACAGACGTCTGATTGGAAATTGGAATGGTGCAAATTGATGCAATCAGTGTCCCCGATAAGCATGAAAATTTTATAAATCCTCTTAACAATCCCTTTAATAGTGAATCAAAAGTTACGCACTGTTCATAAACAACTCTTCACATCACTTAATTAGTTTGACAAAATAGTTAAAAAAAAAATTCTGTCTGCTGCTAGGTATTGTTTAAAATATTTATAGATTCACGAGTACACAATTCAGTTATTCATTCTATGTAAAACACAAAGGTATAGGAAAAATCAGAAAGCAGAAAATAACCATTATTGATACACTGTACTGTCCATGGTTAATAACTGGAAATCAAAATGTTTTCAAAGGTAATCTTCAGCTTCAGTTTGAAAATAGCATTCTTGTTTTATTGACCATTAAATTGATCAAATTTAAGCCCTCTTGACCTCTACACTTTTTTTTAACGAAAATGACATTAAAGGTTCTGTTAGAAGGTAATGCCTCATTTACTTTCAACATGGATTGTTAATGTGTTAGACTGAACTCAGGGCTCTAATTACACATCACTCAAATATCTTAAATACGGGTCATGTTTTTATATTTGACCTTCCAAATTATATACTTGGACATACTATATAATATAATATTGTACTCAAATACGATATATGGGCATACTCTATATATAATATTGCACTCGATTTCGATACGAAGTACTGAGCGTTGCGCACTCGTTAACAAAAAAGACAGACCAATCGCTAAACATTTTAATTTAACCAATCATTTCATTGAAGATGCCCATAGAAAAGGTATCAAGCAATTGCAAAGGGAGAGCTTTAGACCAATTACAACAGTTTCCTTTCATTAACTCCTGGAAACAATCGCTTTGCAATTTTGAATTATTTGTTTATCTTGTAAATCTCTCCAGAAGTAGGTAACCTCTTATCAAATTGATGTATTCCAATACTGAAATCCATAGTCTCTACTTGTGATCTTATAAAACCTTATGCCGAATTTATGTATTATTAAAGCATCAGACAAACTTAAAATGCCATATTTCAACTATCTCACAAACTCTGGAAATGCCATATTATGTTGCCCATGTTTGTACTAAGACTTCCTAAGAGTGTGCAAAGATGACAGATTTTGTATACTTTCCTTTCAGAAATGCGATGACCCAGTAGTGTCGGATAAATCAAGATTTCCAACATTTGCTCGAACTCAACCACCAAGTACTTTGTCAGCAAAGTCTGTGATAGCGTTAATGCAACATCATAACTGGAATAAGTTCACAATTGTTGTAGAAAAGAGAGATTTGATGACCCGTGCAGCCGAAAAACTTAAAGCATTAGCAGAACACAATAACATGACTGTCAATGCCTTAGTGAATTTTACAGGACCTTATGGATCCTTTGAACATTTTAATGAAATCCAGTCAATTGTCATGAAAACTTATAGAAAAACAAGAGGTGAGTACCTGTCAAGACACTACGAATTGGTTGTCAAGTTATCGTAAAAATGAAATGAAGGGAGTTTAACCTGATTAGGCCAATGAAGACGCGCAATGCCATGCAGTTTGCACTGGAGAAAATTTGATCCAAGAATCTTTTTCGAACGACTACACGCTTTTACAAGGGTCACGTTATAATTGTATTTTGTAAGTTTCGGTTTAAAATTAAAAAATCAACGAAACGGTTTAAAACAATTCTATCAATCAACCATCTGGATAGAAACATCTGCACGTCTATTCCAGCCTCTTAAAGATATTTTGAAAGTTTTCGGCTGGTGTAGAGACAGAAAATATAGGCTTTGTTTTTAAAACTATTTATTTTAAACCCAGATAATATATTTGGAATGATAGATATTTTTTGTAGTTTAATCATACTCACAAAGCTAAAATATTGTGATGCCCAACACATCGTAAAGGTAATCAGATATTATGTTAGAAAAAAACCCATCATTGGAGATGTTAAAAATTCCTATAAAACAGTGCCTAGTTTTCCTGACTCCAGCCGATAACTCTCAAAATATCTATGTATCAGGCTATCAGCCACCAATATTGATAATATATTTGTTATCAATCCTGCAGTGATATCTAGGTATCGCCTAAGGAACTAGAAGTCGCAATGCGCTAAGAAATTTTCAATTACTCAAAAAGAAATTTATTGATAAAAAAAAAAAATTATTTGTCAAATATTCAATCAGCTATAAATATTAGAGCCTGAAGGATTTGATATCAAGTACGGTGGTTCTTATACGACATTCAAGTGCATATTTATTCTTTTTTTTAACTTCATTTTTAAAAGATTTCAAATGAGATATACATGTTATGAAAAAATATATGCGATATCTATGCACATGATATTGAATTTATATTTTAGTGTATATTATGTAAATTATGTTAAATTCTAGTGTATAATATGCATTAGATCATAGTTCAGTGTATGTAATGTATTATGTTATAATTCAGTTTATGTAGTGTATTATGTTACAATTCAGTTTATATATTTTATGTATTATGTTATATTTCAGTGTATGTAATGTATTCCTATCCGCCAGCCTTTATAGATTTTGTAAGATTTATGCAGGAGTTAGGATTAACAGATACCGGTGAATATGTTGTTATTGGTATCAGAAATGATGAGGTGTTTGATGAAGCTGGAAATAAATATCTGATGTTCCAAGGTATGCTCACTAATACGCCATTGGTTCTGGTAACTTTATCCAGAAAAGAAATTTGAAAAAATTGACATAATATGTGGCATCAGCAAAGCTTTATAAGTTCAATTCAATCTTGTTTTAAGATCTTGTTTAAAATCTTATTGTTGTCTGTCTGCTGTACTAAGATTGAACTGAAATAAGTATACTTTTTTTTCTAGATGTTGAATTCGCTGAAACTCGTACAAATTCGTCCGTCCAGGCATTTCGTCCAGTTCTACAACTGATGACCAGTCCCGCTACCAATCCCAATTATACAGAATGGAAGGATAATGTCAGGAATTTATTGTATGCAGAGCCTGTAAATTTACCTCCACCCTCAACTATTGAGCAGGCCCTTGGTGTAAAAGTTGAGGTAAATAATTGTACTTAGAGATGGGTTCCCTTATTTCCATTTATGAAAATGCCAATACATTGTATTTATATGAATAGAAAGTTAAGTTGTTCTAATGACTTAGAAAATGACCAGTTTGTCCCACATAATTAATTCATAATGAGCTAAATTAGAAAAGAATTGTCTTTTTTTGTTTATCCAGACCGTACATACATGGACATTTATGAATGAGAATACATGGTAATTCATAAGACACGCTAATTAATCAAATAATTCCTTATTAAGAAAACCCAACCTTAATGTCTTTTTGGGTGATGTATATTAGAGTCAAATGAAAACACTTTGCTTTTTACATTATTTCATTTAAACGAACCTCGTTCAGGAAATTTCATTCTAAAATTGTCATTTAATGTGAAGAATTAGACAACTGTTTCTATGAATTATACATCTCTAAATTATGTTAGTTAATGGATGGTTATTTAAATGGTAGGCCTAAAAAAAACAATCTAGGCGTAGAGCCACACTATACAAACGACATTAACAAGGTTAAATCTGAAAAAGGATATAAGCAATCAATAAATCTAATCTATAGAATTTACAAACGATTTCCTGAATGACATAAAAGTGTTGAAGATTAATTACAATAGGTGATAGTAGTTATTAACTCGATATATTAATATACAATCAGGTGGTAAAACATATGATAAATGTCTGTATTACGTACATTAGCATGCTTGGTAGAACAAATACAATGTCAAAGTGCTTATCAACTATCTCATAAAAACTCATTACCAGTTTCCTTTTACTCTTTATCACTTTAATTCTGTTCATGTTTTCTATTCACAAAATATTACCGTCAAACAGATCGTTTCAAACTATTAAAGATTTATCACTTCGTTACGGACCATCTTAAATAGATGATATTATATGTTACTTAACTGTTGCATTCAACATTGATATGAGTTTTATAATCTCTATAGACATTTAAATATTTACAATTTGTAGAGGCTAATTCTGGTCAGGCAGGCTGCCTTTATACATAACAAAATCAAGCTTCGACGGAAAAATTTATATTCATTATCTGGAAACTTGGATTGTAGCACATAATTACTATTTGCAAGAGAAATAGAGAGTCAACAACGTTTTTGAAACATTTTATTTGTATGTCGTTCGTGACTAGGCAGCAATCAGACAATACCATTCGATAGACCAGTTTCTAAATATATTTTTGATAGCAAATAAAGCTGTGTATTAAAAAGCTGTATACTCGGTATGGTAAATAACTGCACATTTAAAGACAAAAAAATGTGGACTGAAAGGGTCATTTAAATTCCCCCAAGAAGTTTCCATGTGTTTAAGTGTCACTCACTCAAGTATTTATTAACTTCAGTATCATACTCAGTCGAAGAGATTTTACTCGACCTTTGATGTTAGTTTTTATATTAAGTCTCAAGGCAATAATATCATTAACACCATTTAGTACATTCTACCAATTAGTATTTAAAACTATAACAATTCTTATTATAACAATACATGTCATTATTTATTTACTATGTTACCTTAATTATTGACGCCACAATAAATGTTATATTTAATAGAATCTGAACTATTGGTGAGATAAGAGATATAAGGAAATGAAATCAATAAAACATTTTACTGGTTTTCATTTCTGTTATATTGGCTGTTAATTTCCTTGTTTTGCTATAATACAAGTGTGTATTTCCTCCTTGAGTCATTATATAGAAATAATTAGTAATCAATGTAATATTCATTCTAATATATATCCTGTTCTATCTTTAATATATTTAACCTTCTATTTTTGTTATTCAATCGTCACACATTCTACCAGGAACAAAAATGTTGCGGCTTCATTTGAATAAATTTTCTATCAAAACCAGGAACTTTATTCAATGGATTATCTCTCATTACGTTATTGAGTAATTCCTAATGGCTAATTCATTTTTTGATTTATTTCGTATAAATTAGATATTCTATCATTAGAAGACACGTATCGGGCTAAAACCAGTGTTAAACTCTTACGTCTCTTGAGACTATTTGTAAAATTATTTCCATGTGAATTGAAACATTCCATTTGATTGAATATAATACTTAATAGTCTGACAATATACAAATAGTAAGGAGCAAGAAAATCTATACCTTGAATCATAGATGTGTGTACATAGACACCCTTGACCATAAAATCTCTAACATAATTTCAATATATTTCTCCCACTACCATATTAATAGAGAAAGTCACCATCCCTAAGAACTGTCTGTATGCTTAAAGGGGTTGTGTAGAGACAAACGTCAGTGGTTCTTCCAATTCTAGTAAAACTTATTATTAGCAGCTTTTGGGATAGTGATGTCATAAAACGTTAAGTTTTTGTGGAATCTCAAGAACCACAGACGTCCGACAGATATTGATTCGGTGTTCTCAGTGTGATAAACACCTCTTTTCAATCCCTTTAAGGACCTCTAGGCGATATCTGGTGATGAACACATGGAACACATATTCCAGTTAGTATTGTCAGGCGGCTTTCTGGCAATTTTTTTGACCATAGAGAGAAGATTAACCTTTGTCATTCAAAAATGTATAACCTAATATACTACGCTAATCACGTGGCTTCTCACAAGTAACCAACAAAATTTCTTGCTGTCCTTGGAATAGAGAAATTTAGAGTTGTGAATGTCTTCAACCAGTAATCAGATTATGAAATGCTATACTTGGCGTTATAAATTGTATGTACACTTTTCCACATAGCCTTCAAACTACACCACAAAGCTAGTAGAATTTTTTATGACTTGAGACGTTTCAAGAGTAAACCATACATTACAGATTGATATATTTGCTGCCTATCTATATGATGCTGTGATGGTTTACGCTAGAGCTTTAGATGAAGCACTAAAGAATGGTGAAGATCCGTATGATGGCAGAAGTCTTATCATGAGAATCAACAATCGAACATTTGAAAGTAGGTTTATAGTTATTACTAACTTAAGATGATATGCACAATAATTGTGCTTTTTTTAACCGTATTTGCTTTGTTCTAAACTCTCTCAAGTTATCATCGTTGAACGTCTCAATTAAGAGACCACACCAGACCACACCAGATCGCCTCACATAAAATTAATTGTCGTAAATTGGGACGTTTTCTATTTCGTATTTTTTAGTTTTGAATTCGCTAATTGAAATCGTAGCACAGTGTTGTTGCACAAATTACTCTAACTTATAGAGTACCTTGCAGTTGCATCAAAAATGATGCGAAGATTATAATAAAGTAATATTATATTACACCATATTCTCTCTGTTACATCGTTTTCATCGTCTTTTCAAAATACATCAAAAATTGTTTCTATAGGTATAATGGGTCTGTTAGGTTATATTGACGGCAACGGTGATGCAGAAGCAAATTATACAGTTCTAGCTCTAGAGCCTGATGATAGTAGATTTGGTTATGGACTGAAGCCGGTTGGAGCCTTTCTGAGAGATCCTGATACAGCTATGGATGTTGTGAGTATTACTAAAATTGCTTTTTCTGTAAAACCATTTCATGGCAACCAATTCCTCTCTTTGTTTTAACTGCCACTGTCTGAATAATTAAAAATCGTCCAGTATTTATTGAATCTCCACTGTTCATAAAATCCCCGCTATCTAAAAATGTGTAAGTTAATGATATTTTTGTTTTATGTTGTTGTTAGGTGTATAGAAGTTATAATGAAATATTTGATGGAGTGATACCTAAAGATGAACCAGATTGTGGTTATGATGGAGAAAAATGTAAACCACCCACCAGTAAGTAGTCTACATCAGTCATACGGCGTTCTTCTTGGAGAAAACCCACGTATAGGTTTGGTGTACAAATTTGCACAAAAGATTTCCAGAATATCATTTTTCTGATTAAATATTGTTCTATACTGTGTGAACAGCGATCAAAATAATATTAAATTACTCTTGCTATTGCCGGTGTCATCGATCTAAAAAAAATACATAGAAACTGTTATTAATGGGTAAACACTTTCTTTCAAAACTTTTATTGAATTATTATTAAATATAACTAAGATCTATTTAGAACCTGATATCTTATTGAAGAACGTCAAGTACTGTGATTTATGTTCTACCTTGAAAGGAAATATAAAGCAATACTTCTATCATCTCATAAATATTCATAACGCGGATATCAGTTCCAGACCAAATGATATTATTGATAGTATTTAGTAACTAATCTATGTAGGATTTACTATTTTCTAGATCTAACGAATATAGATAACACATTAACTTTATGTACTTTTTGTACCAGAAACTGTATCGCTCATGATACAGGATTATTCTGCTGGTTTACTCTGATTTCTAAATAACAATCCTGCCAGTCTGGATGTCACAATCCTTCTTATCTCTAGACATTTAACATGTATAATAAATACAATTATCATATTCGATATAATTATATTTTTAAAATCACATTATTATGAAAGAGTCTGTATAATTAGACCTGAGACATTAGGCGTATTTAAGATTCATTTCAATCAAATATTTTCTTGTATTCCGTCATTTTTATACGCCAACATTAAAATGTGGATGAACGAATCTGCTCCTATCTTAACCTTAAAAGCTTTCATAAAAAGCATTTTTTTTTATCGAATATTGATGGCACTTCATATGGTAATGCAATAATTGATAAAAGGTTAGAAGAGTCAAACTATCAAAATTAGCTCGTGACAAACTTGTTCATGTATGTGCTTTCATTGTATTTTATGAAAATTGATTGATGAGATTTTGTTTTGATTTGAAAAAAGATTTATGAAACTTGTATACGTGTTAAAATGTATATTGATGAAGAATAGTAATTAGAGTCGATGCACGTTTTACTGCAGGCAGGTTTGTGGTAGTGGATACATGCGTTAAGAACCCCAGATGAGCTCTAGTAACGGAATAGAATTATTGCCCTATACATTTCGGAAAAAAACTCCATAACATATCTTTTCTAGATCTGGTAGCTTTTATCGCTGGTGGTACGTTAGGTGGTGTTGTATTAATTATTGTAGTTGTGGTAGTTATAGCATATAGGTAAGTACAGTATTCTTTTTTTTTATAATATTCTATTTTACAACATCCATTAATACGTAGATTTTGTAGAAAAAAACCTCCAAGAATTCTGTGATAGTATAATGTCTGTGGCTTTAATATCTACCTTTCTTTTCTTTTAGAAACTGGCGATATGAACAAGAATTAGCAAGTTTAATCTGGAAAATCGATCTGAAAGAGATAATGCTACAACCGGATGTCGGCCATTCAGCTTTGTCTTTTGTCAGTAATACGCCTGTAAGTTAAATTAGAACTATTCTTAAAAGACAACATCACTAAAGCTGAAAAAATCACTAACATACACAGACTGAACAAGTAACGCTTAAAATACAAGTTGTTTTGCGTCTTGAATTGCCTTTTTAACTTAGGCAGGTAATAAACCAGTAATCTTGTTATTCATTATCAAAATACTTGACATTCTTGATAGTTGACAGATAAACGATCCTAATTTTAATCCGTGACCATCATAATTATCTTCCAATAACCTGTATGTCTCTTCACAGTAATAGATCTGACAGGATTTCCTTATTTCCTGAAACATCGGATCCAAGTCATTAAGTACAATAATTTGGTATTGAAAACTTAACCGATTTTCTAGGTACCAATATCTCTTTATATCAAATAACAGACACAATTGAATATCAATGGTAAACTAATGTGAAAGTTGATATTATCACAGCTATTAAGATACTGATTCCACATGACCTGATATAATTTCTTTACATCGGATATTAATCAATATGTATATAATATTATACATATATTACAATAATGAAATGTTTACATGTTCACATATATATACATAAAATGTGGTAAAATGACAAAAGGTCTACAGAGTGAGTTCGGAAATAGAGTTGGGTGATGGGGAACACTTTCATCCATTTACATACCTATCAGAATAAATAGTATTTTAATTGAAGAAATAATCAATATATTTTGCTTTAGCTGTATATAGTTGCCACCAGTCTAATCTGTTCATTTGCTGATAATGCAATCATTTGTCCAGTAGGATAATCGTATCCAGCACTGGCGTTTCCAGAGAGAGTCAAGCTCGGTGTTGCCCCATCCCCCATAATTGTAGCTTCGGGTCAGACGTTACGTATAAGTTGCGACAGTGTGTTACTTCTCTTTCAGAATTTATTCAGCAGCCAAACTACAATAAGTCATGAAAGAAATGAACAAACATTTACTCAAGCAGGTGTATATAGAGGTGTTTTAGTTGCTTTAAAATTGGTTAGAAAGAAAAAAGGTCTTGATTTATCCCGAGAAGTTAAGCTGGAATTAAAACAGGTGTGATATTTCAGTCGATCTGTTTATGGTAATTTTGCAATATGAGTACGAATCCCATTGGTGTCTTAGTGCAACCTGAAATAAGTATTTATTCATGCAAGTAAAAATTCCATCCATGCCATTTTTTCTTCTTGAGCTTTTACACTGAAGATGGAACAATAAAAACATTTTTCGTTTGGCATATGCCAACCTTTTACGCGAGACGAAATGGTGGTTTTGATGGACAAGAATACATATAATTTGTTTCATATCTTTGTTTAGATGCGAGACATACGACATGCAAATCTTACAGAGTTTATAGGAGCTAGTGTCAATCAAAATGAAATTTATATTGTTACAGAATATTGTCCTAAAGGCAGTCTTGAGGTGAGATAGTTTTTTTTAACTTAATGTGGTCACCCATTGAATAACAAATAGCACTGCTCCAAACTTGTGTTATCTCATGATTGTATTATGCTCTGCATTTGCATTTGAAAGACGTTTGTACACCGAATTGTACCCCCACTTCATTTCTAGCAAATTTTTTAATCTTTTTGACGTTTTGACCTAAAACATGTGCCAAAATCCACCAAAATGTCTTGATGATGAGGAAAATTTCCTTTGAGCTTGTTAAGTCAGGCTGCTCTCTATTTCTATTCTTTACTATAAGTGTAACCTTACTGTGATGTTGTCTTCAGCTATCAATGCGTCTGGTTGATTCCTTCTTTCAATGATGATATGGGTTGAGCTTTAATCTTGTCATATCTTGCCGGATATTACATTCGCTAGCAATATTTTATTGGAACAAGTTTAATCTAAAGAAGCCTGTAACCAACACTTCACTATATTATTACATATTGTTTATTTGCTGCTGGAGTACTTATTGGTGGAAGTTTGTAACATTAAAATGTTATGGTATTTTGAAACAGGAAGCAAAACATACAAGTTGTATAATATTTCTTCTCCGTACATCACAGAATGATCATTGTCGAAAACTGTCCAATTGCTCCGGTTTCTTAACTTTTATGGTTTGCCAGAATTTCTCATTTTTTCTAAACTTAAATTTCTTTTTTGTTGATATTGATTGACACACTGTTTGATATTTTCAGGATATTTTAGAGAATGATGATGTTAAATTAGACAGTATGTTTATAGCTTCTATTGTAGCTGACATATTAAAGGTAATTATCCATTATGTTCTGTGTATGGACTGTTGTCAATTTCAACTATTGGCAGTTCAAAATTAGTGCTGCCATGGGTATCACCAATCATGTTACGATACGATTCGTATCGCGATTCAAGGGTCACGATACGATACATATCGCGATATGGGGTAATGGGATAAACATTAACATTTTATCTTCAAAGTTTCTATATACAATATGTATATTAATTCATAACTTTATAACTGTGATATTTGGTAATATAGTTGATAGAAGTGGTTGGCGTCCTCTGTCTTACAAAAAGTTTCTAACAATTTCAATGAATAAAATTGTTGTAGCCTATTATAAAACAACTTATAAAAATCCGCACTTTTGTATGGAATAAAAGGTATAGCAATACAATACACAATACAAGTGATGTCGCATCGCGATACATCGATTTACCGATATATCGTGCCAGCAATATTCAAAGTTGACGAAATCGATTTTTCTACCTCTCACAGCTTCCACCAATGGATCGCTCTTATTTCTTTCATACATGATTAGCATTATGGTGCATCCTTGCTCCTATAGTTATTGAATTTGTCTGACATTCAGCCCATGAGGACAATAAAATGAATGAATGAATGTATGTAGCCTATGTATGAATGAATGAATACCTCGATGGACAACCTGTTTAACAAATACACATTTAATGTGTATTAAATGGACAGACTGTGTTGCTGTGGTCACAAAAGGTGTACAAATTCTCACAATTTAACCAATATCTATATACAGAAAAATACATATACACAAGATTATTACGATTATGTACTAAAATAGGTAATAAACGGCGTTATATTTTTCTTTTAGGGTATGATATATTTACATATGAGTGATATACAATCCCACGGTAATTTAAAATCTGCTAATTGTCTAGTAGATAGTAGATGGGTTGTGAAAATAACTGATTTTGGTTTATGTAAATTCCAAGCTGGGAGTGAAATTCCCTATCACGGTGAACATGCTTTTTATAAACGTAAGTTACCATCCATACTTAATTTCCCTTTTTTCTCCCTAGTACTGAAAATGAAAACAATATTAATAAAGAGTGATGGAATAATCGTTAATTGCGTGCTAATGAGTTAGTGGAATTGTCCGCATGTAACGATTTACGATTATTAGTACGACAGTTTATTAACCTATCATGTTAAACTTTAAATACTGAAATGCGCCTCTCGTGAGCTACGTAAGATTAATACAATGGTGCCATCACTGTCGGCACTTTAGATTAAGTTTATGGTTACACAAGAATAATTCGTAATTCTATTACATTTGAAGGATATCTTTGGACATCACCAGAGTTATTGAGGCTAGATAAGTTTCCACCAGGAGGAACACAGAAAGGCGATGTTTATTCGTTTGGTATTTTACTATATGAAATATTATCACGATGCGGTCCATTTGGAGATTGTCTGCTGACACCAAAAGGTATATATGTTTATTATATAATGTAAAAACACCGATATAAATTTTGATCTGATTTGGTAAACTTAAGTTGATAGGCAAGTTATAAAAATACACAAAAGAAACACAGATTACTAACTATTATTTTGAATGATTTCTATTTCAACTTTTCATATCGATATATTGACGATGTTTTGTCCGCCAATAACTCAGAAAATATCTGAGTCAGATTTATCCAAGTGCACTACAGAGTCGAAATATTCGGCCTCCTATTTAGATGAATTACTGAATCATGATACATAGGGTTGATGTCCACCCGACTGTTTGATAAACGAGACGACTTCTCATTCCTATTGTCAACTTTCCTTTTTTGAGCAGCAATATTCCAACTTCTCCCGCTTATAGTGTTTAGGTTTCCCAACTGATACGTTATGCCAGAGCTTCTTTCGCATATGATGATTTTGTGCTGAGAGCATCGTTGCTGACTTCTAAATTGTTGACACAATGTTACATAACACCCAGATTGGTTTCTACCTTGAAAAAGTTTTATGGTCGTCACCATGATCTGGTTGATTGCTGTGTCAAAGTTGTTGACTGACATTTTCGTTTCAGTTGGGTGTAGACAACCATTTGCTAATTTGTGACTAATATTATTCCTGGAATATTCAATTGCGATCGGTCTCATTTCCCCTACTTTAAAACTGATTATCTAGATATTGGCGGGTGTCGTGCACGAGGCAGAGTATGTTCACTCTTTCTGGAACACCTTATACTATCTCTCGAGAGAGGTCCACTTTCATTTAGTTTCATTTCCGGATTGTTGTTTACCGATTGTTTTTCACCTGATTTTGTCCTGTACATGGAATTTTCGACTGGCTTTGTGACTTTGGTATTCTTGCGCTCGGCTTCATTTCTGTATGTTTATTTCATTACTAGTTTCCACGGTAAATTTTTAAATAATTGTGAATTTATTTAAGAAATCATCGAACGTATAAAAAATGGTCCAGAGAATGGTGTATATTTCCGACCTAGCTTAGCGCAGTTAGATTGTGAAGGATATATACTGGAGGTGATACGGGATTGTTGGTCAGAGAATCCTGAATTTAGACCTGATATGAAGACCTGTAGGAAACGATTGAGGCCGATGCAGAAGGGGATGTAAGATTTTTTCTTTTATCTGTAGTCTTATTGTATAGTATAGTATGAACGTACTATGAACACATTGCTTACTGGTTATAATGATTCTAATACGTGGAGTTCATATCCACGTGAACGAAGCGTGGAAATAAGTAAGATCTTTCTCCACACACCATATTTTATTGGAAGATCACGGAATCGTGAAATAGGGCCACGATTTTCTTCTCCAAAGTCTGTAGTGATATAATCTTTGTAATCAGATGGACTTAGTTTTTGTATAAAAACGCAAATAGATATAAGTACTAACGATCTGAACCCCAAAAAACCCCAGAAATCCAAAACAACATTTGCGAAACACAGTCCTAACTTTTACTACCACTTGGCGGCCATTACAGCCAAAACTGGAATGTGATGGTTCATTACTCTTTGACAGATATGATACAAATTTACATTGCACCTTGTCCCCAATACCTCACTAAGAAGATACCATAACTTGACCTGTTCTTGGCACCCTGGTATTAGATTTCATGTTCTAAATTTAGTACAGAGCCCTTCTTCACTAGATTAAATTTGAAATTTTGGTTCTCCTTAGCAAAACCCTGTTCTTTGAAAGGAAGATAGTCGTGAAATTTCAGAAATCAGATCAGAATCCTATCAATCAGGAATATCAACAAACAAATCTAACCACTATAGAAACACAATTTTATATGTGATAAAATTTTGCAATTTTTAAAAAGCTGCAAAGTTTTAGCATTTCAAAACCATATAAAAAGTTTGGAGGCTAACGTATCTATTCAGATAAATAGAGGTGTTCCTCAAAATAATATTGAATAATAATTCCAGCCATAAAATGTCAAATAAGTTCTTGTAGGAAATGCATCTAAATCTGTGCTCATAAAATTGGCAGTCTAAAATAGGGTAGGCCTAAGTAAGTAAATGAACAAAATTGTCGCTTTTCATGACTGAAATTGCTGAAGCGCCATAGATGGTCGATGGGTTCCCGAGGTTTTAAAGTGTTTTACATTACAGCAAAATACATTTAGACAGAAACAGCAACTCATTATGGACATACATGCATACCGAGTAAAGCGACAGTCGCAGCGTGTGGCCCACTTAAGGGGCCTCAGTGGGGTCCATAGGCGAAGTTGCTGATTTTTTTCTTTTCATTTTCAATTATTTCACTGTTTGCTCATTTCTTTCAAAGTCTATTCATGCGCCAATTTGCAAGTGCCGAGCGCAACCAGTTGAAATACTCATTAAGTTATTATTGAATTATTTCAAAACAAGATACAAAAGAAACCAAGGAGTTTATAGAATGGTTCTAAAAAAATTGAATGAAGGTCAATAAGAAAAGTTAATATAAGAGAGGCCATAAGGATGTGTATGTATGTAATATGATACTGGTCAAACATTAGGGCCGAACTTTATTTTGAAACTTTAATTGGGCAGATTTATTGCAATGTAAAGACCTGATGACATATTGTTTACAGTAGACATACCAACTAATTATAGTCACTGGACCATGGGCAGTACAGAATACTCTTTTTTTGGTAGTAAAAGTTAGGACTGAACATTGGAAGCAACATTTACGTCAAATGAATGGTTGATTAAAATAATCGTTATATTAACTAACGAGAGAACACTAATATTCAACACATTACAACAACTAGTCTTAACTTTCGGGATTTGGAACCTCTTTTGTATCAATATATAAGATATGGGCCCATGCGATTTATTGATTATTTCAAATATCAGCTAAAGACCGTTAGTAACTTCTATCCATTGGTATTTCCTTATATATTATGACCATAGCCTACTATACATTTACATCTGTAGGCACTCCAACATATTTGATAATATGATGATTATGATGGAGAAATATGCCAATAATCTAGAAGCTGTGGTAGCTGAAAGAACTGTAGAATTAGCAGAGGAAAAGAAGAAAACAGAAACATTGTTACACAGCATGTTACCAAGGTACCGTATAAGTTGATATTTTCAGATTGAAAGTTTCTTACGATAAATTCATTAATAAGTGTACAGCAATTACTTTAAAATTACTTTTTTATCTAGATCTGTAGCTGCCCAGTTAGTCCGAGGTCAGCCAGTTATTCCCGAGGCATTTGAGAATGTAACGATATATTTTAGTGATATCTGTGGTTTTACAAACATGTCAGCAAAAAGTACTCCATTGGAGGTAATGATGTTTCTATATTCAAACCTTCCGTCTCTTCCGATGTGTTGCTCATGTTTATATTGCCGATTACAAATAAGATAACTAGATTGGAATCAAATTAATCAATTAAGTGGGAATGGAATAAGTAAAATGAAATTTTACACTATCTTTTCTGCTCTTGATTGGGCCTTTGCCAGGACAGTAAATTTAGCCTACTCGTTTCTGATTTCATATTGTAGAGGGGCCTTTATCGATGACATTTCCATCAATAGTCATAAAAGCCCAGTTTGGTTTCTTCATTAATAATGATACATTTTAACTTCCCATCAAGTTGTTGATCTAGAATAATTACTTCTATTATTTTACTTACAGGTAGTTGATTTGTTGAACGATCTGTATACTCTTTTTGATTCTATTATAAAGAATTATGATGTATATAAAGTTGAAACAATTGGTGATGCTTACATGGTAGTCAGTGGTTTACCTAAACGTAATGGCATCAACCACGCCGGAGAAATAGCTTCTATGTCACTACATTTATTATCATCCATTAAACAATTTAAAATTCGTCACATGCCAAACGAAATCATTAAATTGCGAATTGGACTACATTCTGGTAAGTCGAATTAGTACTAAATTTCAAGGTCTCTATGTTATTATGCTAACAGTAGTTATTTCCCCTCTTATGATTAATACTCTCAGTAAATTTTCATTGTAAGAAATAAACATAGGAAACAAACATTTTTAAGGTCCTGTGGTAACTGGCGTTGTTGGTTTAACTATGCCGAGATATTGTTTATTTGGTGATACAGTAAATACCGCCTCAAGGATGGAATCTACTGGAGAACGTAAGAAAATACTTGTACTTTTTCCTATTAATCATTCTTTATGGCCTTCTTTAGTTTAAAAGAGGGAACCCATTGTAATGTATGTTTCTGTATTTTTGTATTTTTTATTGCTACGAAAACAGGACTTTGCGTTTCTGTAAAGAAACAATTATCTATTTGATACGTAGTTTAAGAATTATTATTGGCATATTGAAAACCATAATAAATAAACGTTGGTGGTTATTTACTGATCTAGATTTGAAAGTTGGCTAACACCAATTATTCTTAATTATACTAAACTAATGCTCAAAAGAAAGTACCCACCTATATAATTTACAGTACGATTAACAAAAATTAAAATAAAGTGATTAAACCACTGTAATACATCTCACACACGGTCAACACAATATTTCACATGAAAAAATGATGAAAAAAGTGAACGAATTACGCAAACGACGCTAAAAATAAAAAGCGACAAATTCTGATGTTGCACGAAATGCACGTGCATGATGAGGGTATAAATCAGTTTACTGGACAAGTTAGCAACAGAGGATAAAGAAAAACACAAAAAGTTTGCCACGTTTGAGCCGGATTGAACGAGAAAGAGCTGTGGGAATGGCGCAACATGGAGCAAACATCACCTTGATCGCAAGAACTTTCGGCTGCTCCAGAAAAACTGTAACAAAATTGATGCAGCGTTTGAGGCAAACAGGCATTACATCAGACAGGCCTAGGTCGACCACGTGTCACAACGCCAGGTGAGGACCGCCACATCAGGACAATTCATCTGAGGAATCGTTTCGTTACTGCAACAGCAACGGCATCGGCGGCATTGGGGCATCGTATCAGTCGACACACAGTGTACCGGCGACTGAGGGAACGTGGTATCCGAGCACGTCGCCCCTACCGAGGAGTGCACATGACACTTCAACACCGACGTCGTCGATTGACATGGTCCAGGAGAGTTCGGCGATGGCAGATTCGTGATTGGCAACGTGTGATGTTCACGGACGAGAGTAGGTTTTGTCTTTACAAAAATGATGGTCGTGCTCGTGTTTACAGACGTATAGGTGAGCGTTTAAGACCAAATTGTGGTCAGAAAGTCAGAGCGTTTGGAGGCGGTAGTGTGATGGTGTGGGGAGGGATCTGCGATGATAGGAAAACACCACTTGTGACTATTCGTGGCAACCTTAATGCTCAAAGGTACAGAGACGAGATTTTGCGACCAGTTGTTCTACCATTTATCCGGCAACAACCCCGTGGCATTGTCTTTCAACACGATAATGCAAGGCCACATACAGCAAGATTGACAAATGACTTTCTTCAAAACGCCAACGTCGTTGTTTTACCGTGGCCAGCTTGTTCTCCCGACATGAATCCGATTGAACACCTATGGGATTACCTCGATCGGCAAATCCGAAATCGACCGACGCAACCTGTCACTGCTCAACAGCTGGTACAATGTCTCGTAGAAGAATGGCAAAGAATAACGCCTAACGTCATCCAACGTCTTACATCATCAATGCGTCGACGTGTTGTCGCCTGCATTGCTGCTAATGGGAGTCACACTTGCTATTAATTAATTAATTGATAAATAAATATTGATTATTTTTTAAAGACAATTTGCCTTCTGAATTTCTGTAAAAGTAAACCCGACCCCTCTTGTCTTTGTGTGCCGGTCGAACAGTAAACACGACTGTCTGTTACTTAAATTTGTGTAAATTTGTTGTAGAAATGAATATTCTATTGGAATTACATAGTTGTTCATTTCTATCTGCTTTTGTTTTCTCCTAACAATTGGTCAAACCTAGTGGGTACTTTCTTTTGAGCATTAGTTTATACAAGAAGGAATTTATTTGATTTTTCAGTTTGCTTGTGAGCTTTAGATGTGTGCTTTTATGTCTTTCTACTGATATTAAATGATCATCAATTACTTTTAAACTTATCCAATTTTAATTCTAGCTTTAAAGATTCACGCTAGTCCACAAAGTAAGCAGTTATTAGATGAACTGGGTGGCTATGAATTAGAAAGTCGGGGTGCAATTGAAGTCAAGGTGAGCTTTATCAATTATGTTGTAAAGGAGAGAACCTTTAGTCGTAAGTTTTTTCATGAAGCCTAGTCTTTTGCAGTAACTGCAGAGAATAACTCAAATATCATTTTTGCAATCTTCCCTTTTTTCTTTTCACAGGGGAAAGGAGAGGTTCATACATATTGGTTAGTGACCGAAGATGAGAAAGTGAGACAGAACAGAATAGAAAATACAATCAAAACAGTCGATCCGGAAGATCAGCCTTCAGAATTCAATAGAACAAGGTCAAAAGGGCACTCCAGTTTCAGACGCATGCCACACTTAAATCTTGCCACAGGTATTCGGGCTCCGGATATGTTCGACCGACATACCTCACCGCGATCTACTGGAGATTTCGAGCACTCTCGGGTTGTGGCACATGACGACATAACCGGTGAAACAGTTCCAACGGCATTAGGTGATATCGGTTTATCCAATGGATATATCAATAATAACTTTATAATGAATGGCTCATTAAGACGCTCAAATGGATCATTAAGACACTCAAGGGCGCTAAAAACTAATTCAATGAATAACGAATCGCCAAAAAGTACTAAATCGACGATAAAAAGTGGAATGTTTCAAGTAAACAAGATACATCCCGAACTGGCTTCTAATGATACCTCATCAATATTTCTGAATGTGATTAGACCTCGTACAGACAGTGATGGTTCTCAATGTGCTAAACATAATGTGAAATTCTCAGATCACGTCGTCTAATGTTTTATTATGTTATGTTGAATCTATTTATTCATTTGACTGAATGTATGTTATATTTAAGGCTGTCATAATTTGTGATATATTTTCATAATTATCATACACAATTATACTATAGTTGTGTCGAAATAGAATATTTTTGTGTGATATTTTGAGTGGTGTATATAGTGAATGAGTAAGGAACGTAGTGTGTTAATAACCATGTTTGTTTTGTAACAGGCTGGAAAAGATTTCATTTTGTTGAAAATCTATAGGATAATGACATCATTAATTGTTAAGATAATATATTTATTTTCATCTATTTATTCATAAGAATGCGATCAACAAAATTTTAAGTGTATTGTTATAATATTGTAAAAAGAAAACAAACATTTTTGACATATAAAATTCTCTTTTGTAGAATAGTACATCATGTCACATCAAATTCAGATCAAATCAAAAGCGAGAAGCTAATAAAATAATAACCAGTTCGATGGGTTAGAGTGGTCCAGGAGGATGTGCTAAACTCCCTCTATGGAATAGTGAAAACAGACGAAATATATTACAAGATGCGATACTAGTGACCAGGATTCCTTAAGAAATCCTTATTACTTAAGATCGTATTGGCTTAGAAAATTAGAATTTTCCACTATGGAGTAATATCAGGAAATAATTTATTTTACTCTCCTTTCATAAGAGATCGAATTAAACTGGTATGAGTGACATTATATATTTACATTGCTGGTTGTAATTACGTATATATATTTATACATTTAAAAAAAATAACAATTATACATTATAATATGTCCTGATTGTAAACAACTATAATACTGCAGAACACATTTCTTATAAACCTTTTTAACAAATGCATGTTATTACCCTTTTACTATTACTATTATGCTGAACAATAGAACACAAAATAAACAAATCTCTTATAGCGAATCAACAATAGAACAAACATAGAAATACTTCTTCAGGCACCGAGCTAAAAGTTCATCACAATTAATAGTATAGTTCATTTTGTTGCTACACTAAACTTTCTGGAAGAGCACCATTTTTGTTATTAGTTTCCTCATACGTTGGTGGTGGTCTAGCTATTTCAGAGTTATGTTTCTTTAACTTTTGGCACTTTTTGGCGGGGTTTGTTTTCAAGAGGCACTTCCGTTCATTGGGATCATCAATGATTGTAAATGCTATCTGTTCACACTCGCTGCACTGAGAATCACATGGTGAACTATCACGTGACGGGAACGACGGACAGTTCATTGTATGACGTCGAACAATTTCACGACTAGGGAAGTCTTTTGAGTTAGAATTTATATTATTCGAATCTGACTTCACTTCCGAATCTTTGCTTTCAATTCCTTTCAGCGAAGATGCGTTTTTACGAACGTCTCCATTTTTATATAAAACATTATTCGGGGAAATGATTTCGACTATTTCTGGCATTTTATCACTAATGGGTCGATCATTAGACAATTGGTCCACTGAAATTCTACGAATTCTGTGGCTCTTGTCTTCTCCCACCAAAAAGTAAGTCAATTTTTCACCTTTTCCCTGAAAATCAACATTTAGAAAGAATATATAAAAGAAATATAGGCCTATTTTATATAATTATAATAGGCTATATAAAAAGAAATACAAATAAAAATAGTTGGATTATATTTTCCTAACATAATTCATTTTTTCTTTGGCTTAAAAAGGACTAATAATAAACTTTGCATACCTTCATTGCTATATAGCCTCGTTCCTCTAAATAATACCCTCCTAACTTATCCAGTATAGTCTTTAATTCCTGACTGCAGTGTATTTTCATTGCTAGAAAATAAACAAATATTTTGAAACTAATTTGATAGCAAATATATGTTTCATATTATCTATATCTCAACACATAAGTTAATGCATCAGCTACTTTGTCATTATAGCAGGTTTTACTTTTAAAAATTACATCTCTTTACCTTCTCCTGTAGATTCCATTCTGGACGCTGTATTGACTGTATCACCAAATAAACAATATCTCGGCATTTTGTGACCAACAACACCAGCACAGCATGGTCCTGAATTGACAATTATTGAATTGATATATAATTACTGCTCTACTCTTGGCCTTGAATTCTTGTACTAATTCACCCCACTACCCATTTGGCAAACATGCCATCTTATACTTCATTTTATCAAGAAAAGATGATTCTTAATGTCAACTACAGTTTATTTGGGAAAAATTGTTGAATCATTCTGAATCAAATAGACTTACTTACCAGAGTGAATACCGATTCTAATCCGTACTGAAGAATCGGGCTGATGTCGTAATCGGAACGTTTTCAATCCAGCCAATAAATTAAGGGACATTGAAGCTATTTCGCCTGCATGATTATCTTTATTTCTAATTGGTAATCCACTAACAACAACATAGGCATCACCAATAGTTTCAACTTTATATACATCATAATGTTCAATAATAGAATCAAATAAACTGTACAAATCATTTAACATATCAATAACCTGAAAGAGATCCAACCAGAAGAGGTTCACGAAGAGTTACATCAATTACAAAGAAATAATTTAACTGCCTTACACATCATATACATCTAAAATATCATCACATTTTGCATAGACTTCGGTATAGATAAAGTTTCGATAGGAATGAATCAGAATTATTTACGGTAATAGAAACAACGTGCGTAGTGGTATAATGAAGAGATAATTTCACTAAACTAGACTTAATAACCGTATATTGGCAATTGTGTTTCTTTAACCGCGAATTGATTCATTAAGTGGCTATCGTATACAGTGATAATGTAGATAATGAATTAGATCAAAGTCAATATAATTGAGTTGAGATTTCAAGGAGGGGTGATGTCAATGTTTTGTAAAAGAGCAAGGAAAAGTCATCAAAACGAGGTGACGACATAATAGAATAAAACAACACACGTGATTTGATTACGCATGTTAAAGGTATTACAAAGACTAATCATATAGTTATTAGTCTTCCAAAAAAAATATATTTTCGTCATTATGTAAAGGAACATGCGCTTCTTAATGATCATGATATGAGTTTTGAGGCCCTTCTTCATCACCAACATCTGTCGATACATACGTAGAAGAGTATTCACATTTTTATTTCACTATCACCATTCTGTTCACATGCAAAATAATTGTTCTACGAAGAGAATTGGAGTCAGACCTTTACTTCCTTTATAAACAATTAGCCTTTGGACTTTCCTAAGTTCAATAAGTTGGTTATAAAACCATAGAATACATTTTATATCTATACATTAGAACAATGTCATTTAACCTTATCATCTTAATTCAATGAATAGGAAATGACGTCATTTAATCCAAATACTGCAGTCGTCGACCTCATGTACTAAGCACTTAACCTATTTATAGGTAGTATTTTTTCCTGACTTCTATATAAGCACATTATGTGATCATTTAGTTACGTAAAAGTCTTGAGTCGGCCATTATTAGAATATTATCAAAGGGTTCTCGTTACGCATTATGAACAGAGCAGACGAAATAAACAATCTAATATTTACCTCCATAGGAGTACTAGCTGCAGAGAGGGCTGTAAAACCAACAATATCACTAAAATAAATACTGACACATTCATATTGTTCTGGTACTACTGGATTACCTCGTTTTAATTGCTCTGCAACTGGTCTGAAATCAGTAACAATATATAAATCTAACATAAAGATTTTCGAATTCTGCGTGAAAGTAAAAGTGCCAAATTATGTTGTCTCATAATATTATAATATACTAGTTATATCTAAAAAAAAATCCAAAAAACTTATCAATTTTAAACGTAGAGAAAGCCTTTGCTATGGTGTATAATATATATTACGTAGAGAAAACCCCCGCCATTGTGTATAATATATATTACGCAGAGAAAGCTCTTGCTATTGTGTATAATATATGGTACGTAGAGAAAGCCTTGCTAGGGTGTAAAATATATATTATGCAGAGAAAGCCCTTGCTGTTGTGTATAAAATATATTACGTAGAAAAAGCCCTTGCTATGGTGTATAATATATATTACGTGGAGAAAGCCCTTGCTATTCTGTTTAATATATATTACTCAGAGAAAGCCCTTGTTATTGTGTAAAATATATATTATGCAGAGAAAGCCCTTGTTGTTGTGTATAAAATATATTACGTAGAAAAAGCCCTTGCTATGGTGTATAATATATATTACGTAGAGAAAGCCCTTGTTATTGTGTATAATATATATTACGTGGAGAAAGAACTTGCTATGGTGTATAATATATATTACGTAGAGAAAGACCTTGCTATTGTGTATAATATATATTACGTGGAGAAAGCCCTTGCTATGGCGTATAATATATATTACATGGAGAAAGCCCTTGCTGTGGTGTATAATATATATTATGCAGAGAAAGCCCTTGCTATGGTGTATAATATGTATTACGTAGAGGAAGCCCTTGCTATGGTGTATAATATATGGTACGTAGAGAAAGCCTTGCTAGGGTGTATAATATATATTACGTAGAGAAAGCCCTTGATATTTTGTATCATATATATTACGTGGAGAAAGCCCTTGCTATGGTGTATGATATATATTACGTGGCGAAAGCCCTCTGCTATGATGTATGATATATATTACGCAGAGAAAACCCTTGCTATGGTGTATAATATATATATAACGTAGAAAAAAATCCCTTGTTATTGTGTATAAAATATATTACGTGGAGAAAGCCCTTGCTATTGTGTGTAATATATATTACTTGGAGAAACACCGTGCTATGGTGTATAATATATATTACGTAGAGAAAGCCCTTGTTATTGTGTGTAATATATATTACGTGGAGAAAGCCCTTGCTATGGTGTATAATATATATTACGCAGAGAAAGCCCTTGCTATGGTGTGTAATATATATTACGTGGAGAAAGCCCGTGCTATGGTGTATAATATATATATTACATGGAGAAAGCCCTTGCTATGGTGTATAATATATATTACGTAAAGAAAGCCCTTGCTATTGTGTATAATATATATTACGTAGAGAAAGCCCTTGCTATTGTGTATAATATATATTACGTAGAGAAAGCCCGTGCTATGGTGTATAATATATATATTACATGGAGAAAGCCCTTGCTATGGTGTATAATATATATTACGTGGAGAAAGAACTTGCTATTGTGTATAATATATATTACATAGAGAAAGCCCTTGCTATTGTGTATAATATATATTACGTGGAGAAAGGCCTTGCTATGGGGTATGATATATATTCAGCACTGCACTAATGGCGCCCAGAAGGCCAAAACAGTTCTGTTTTCCAGTTAGTTATATTCAAAATATATATATTTTATCGATACGGACGTTTGACATATGCATAATGAAACTTAGATCATAATGAATAAGAAATACCATTTAGAAGAAAAACAAGCAGAAATAAGCTAGTTGACACAGCGAGAAAGCCCAGGAACCAGAATATAGAAAATTGATAAATAGAGAAGTTCAAGATTCTGTTGTATTAATTTATGTGAACAGCCAAATTTCAGAAGTGAATTTAGATTAAATATTGGTTGATAAATACACATTCTTTACTGAAACACCATTAAAGATTCAGTGGTTCTCTTGATCCTTGTACAGGTTATTTATTAGAACTTCTCTATCTATGTGAGAATAAATAAAAGATATATAGAATAATAAGTAAGAAAACGTACGAAATATCATACCGTGGTAGCATTCTTAACAGTAGGTTCTCCGTCATTTTCTTTTCCACCGATAGTTGTTCTGTTCGCTCGGCTACCAGGGCTTCCAAATTATTTGCATATTTCTCCATCATTGCTATCATATTATCAAAGATATTTGCTTTCCTTAAAATGAATTTAAAGATTGGCCTATTTATCCCAAATAATAAAGTCAATTTCAAATTACTAGCGAAAGTACAAGATACTCTTCTGAATTCAAAATGTAACAGTAAGCGTTTGTTACACTTGTTTGTTAAGATGCATTAAATCGTACACTTTTAACATCTTATGCCCATTATATTAAGTCTGTTGATATTGCAGATTTTCTTGTATTATGTCAATATACGACTTTTTGCAATATCTTTTCTAAAATGCTTTTCTTACGAACTTACAATCCCTGATGCATTGGTTTGAGTCGGTTTCTAACAGTTTTGAAATCCGGTCTCATTTCTGGGTCTTCTGTCCAGCAGTCTTGAATACAATTGGTTATATATGATTCACATGTCATTTGGTGAGTATTAGGTCTAAATGGTATTAATTTACTGCCCATTTTCAACTGTCGTACTATTTCTGAAATACCAAGTAGATGATATATAATATATTACAAAATAAAATATATTTCAAACTGTAAAGGTGTATTTCCCAAACACCAATTGGGATAACCATTTAGGATTGATAAATCCAATTAATACTGCACAAAGAATTCCTCATTGCTTAACATTTACTTTTATGACAATTATACCTTTGGACTCCTTTTGCGTGCATTGTAAGGACCCAGTTGTCATAAGTTAATTGTGTCCAGAGTATCTTTCAATCCAAATAAATACCTTGTATTCGAATATATCCAATAATGTCAACCATCGCATGACAAATGTATTTCTTTTATAGAGAAATTATCAGAAATAAAAATATAATATTACCCGGTGGATCCATATTAATATCTCCCCACGGTCCCTTTCTCACATACATCTCATAGATAATAAAGGCAAAGGCATAAACATCAGCTTTTTGTGTGCCTCGTGGGTGATGATGTTGGGGATTTCTTAATATTTCTGGCGCTTTAACTAATAATTCTGTGAAAAAAGGATAGACATATCATAAATATTCTTAAACAATCTATCATCCTATAGGGAAATCAAAAGTATGCTAAAAGCTGTTAACAGATATAGAAATATTCTGGCAACAAAAGAACGATCAGCGCTTTGATTTGTGCCTCGAGTATTCTGCATGAGCGTAAAATAGCCAATATAGTGCCACCTAAATATTATATTATAATTACACTTTTTCTACTGCCAAAAGAAGAATCTTCCAGAATCCTTGACACATCCCTATAAAGGGAATTATTTCATAGATTTGGAGGTAACTGCACAATTTTCATTAGCCATGTTCTGGTCATGCATATTTGATTCATTTAATGTAGTATGTACTTAACCATCAGCGCCCTCACATTATTTACATCTGTTACGTTGCACTTACTATCATAATAATTGTCATCTTTGGCATTAGCAGGTTGATTAAAGACTGATGGCAGACCGAAATCTGATATCTGTAAAACCCATCTACTATCAACCAGACAATTACTGGATCTTAAATTACCATGAGATATAATATTACTATCATGTATAAACACCATTCCCTGTAATAAATATTTGTGATGTCAGTGATTACATGTTGTTATCTCTGTATTGTAGCTCATAGTACAAGCTATATGAAAACAAAATACAATTATAAAACGTGTTTAAAATATCGAATGGAGCCTATTTGGTCCTATTGGTCAAGCATAGAACTACCATGACTTAATAAGAGTTCCAATTTATCTCATGCGATCAATTTTTAAACAATGACTTTGCGGTACACTAACGATGTTAATCGTTTTCTTTCATTCCTTACCTTAATTAGATCTGCCACTAATGAACTGACAAACATGTCATCTAATGTTGAATCTTCATTGGCTAATATATCCTGGAATCATCACATAAAATGAAGGTAATAACAATCTTGATTATTTTATTCTGCTTATTAGTTATGTTTTAGAAATCGTCTAATTTTAGTTTTGAGTACTTAATTTGGCTTTGGCCATTATGAATTCAAGAATTATACAACGAAATTGCTGTGTTTCAAATGAAACGCCCGTTTGTTTAACTGAAAGATTGTAAATGTTCATATTCGAGGCGTAAGTAGTGTATATCTAAAATAGGGTGTAAATGTTGTATATTTTTAATACTTGGTATACTTGTAAATTACGAAAATCATGTACAAGGGGTAGGCGTTTTATATAAGGTTTAAGAGTTGTACACGATAAATATGGTGTAAGTGTAAGTGGTGTATATTATATACAAGGTTTAGGTGTTGCACATTATGTACATTTTTTAGGTTTGTAAATCATTTCAGAATGTTAATGTTGTATGTTATATATACAACGTTTAGTTGTAGCACATTATGTAAATTTTTTAGATTTGTAAATCGTTTCAGAATGTTAATGTTGTATGTTATATATATAAGGTTTAGGTGTGGCACAATGACATTTTGTAATTTTTAAGGTTTTGTTAATCGTTTCAGAATGTTAGTGTTATACATTATTTACATGGTGTTAATATTGTATGTTATATGCAAAGTATCTATTGCCTACAAGGTATGTGTTGGTCAAGAATTCCTTGGAGAAGCGTAGGACCATTGACCCGTGTATGTGGTGTTTGCCTGTTAACTTACCTGTAGGCTACCACGCTGGCAATACTGTGTTACTATATACACTTCAGGCAATTCAATACAAGCACCAATAAATCTGTTAATATTATCATGGCTTAATTCTTTCCGTAACTGTAACTGTTTTTTCATTTCTCTATTTACATCTAAATTTCTTCTGGTAACTTGTTTAATAAATACAATGGTACCACGGTATGAACCAACATGTGTGTTACTTTGTTTTGCTTTCATTGAAGATCTTTTATCACTCTCATTATCACCAGATAGTAAAAACTTCCACGGACTATAAACTTTCTTCTATAAAATATAAAGGCGGAATATTGAAAGTGATCCTATCAAAATGAGACTTATCCTACAGTTTTATTAAATCACCCAATATATATGTTAGTAAATCAACTGTAATTTAAAACGTCTCCCTGATTTTAGCATAGTTCGACTATTCAAAAGAATTTTGAAATTTGAAGATGAACTACACTCCTCAGAGAAGGGTTTTTGTGTTTTTTTATAACAGTTTATAATAATAGTATAATATATGATAATCATATAATGTATAATACTATTATAACAGTTTAGATCATTGTCATTTATATAATTTATATAATCGTAATATAACATATTCGTCTTGTTTTCCTTACCCTTTGTCTTGCGGGTGAATAGAAATCTCTGACAGAATCTACAAATCTCAGATCTTCTTTATCAATCTTCCATAATAAACTGGCTAACTTCTTTTCATAACGGTAATATCTATAAACACAATAGTTAACTATGAGTAAAAACATTTCATAAAGTTTTTTAAATACGAGAATGAAAATATCCAACTAATTCACCAGCAATGATCTATTTTGGCCATAATTGTTACTTGTTTTGGTCATATATGATTTTGTTACTATATAAAGATCCGATGACATACGATGCGTCATATATCATTATATCTGTTACCTTTTGTTTAAAGATATATAGTCCAACAAAATTCACAGATAATGTCAATGACTACTGGATACGGTAGGCTGTCTGACATTTAAAGGAGAATTGGAGTTACAGTTCAAAGACAATGACGGCTTCTTATTTATAACATTTCATTTTCTATTCTTTAATTACTATTGTCTGACTGCTTTATCGACACCTGGTCATACCAAGTAATTAGATACCACAGAAACACTGTGTACCACTTTCTAATATAATTCCAACTTAAAAATTCCACGCTTAAAAGATCACCAACACACCCAAATCAAATTCCCCGAAATTCAAAACAAAATGCTGCAGTTGTGAATGGCAAAAAGTGAAATCTCACAAGTTTAACGTCTGTTAAGAGGTCACATTAGTTCAGTAGTAGAACAGTAGTTATGCTGTCATCTTTATAAATCAAATTATTTGCGAAACTAAATCAATCCATTAAAATAATGGGTTAAATACCCCAAAGTTTGTTTTCATCTGTGAATGTACTTTTTTGGAACAAAAAACAGTACTCCATTATCAGACAGATTTGCATTGGGAAAGAACAAAAAACTTGTAAAGTTTGAAGTAGTAACCTATTTATAGTTGACAACTAGAAAGAAAGCAGGCGACTAAAACTAAAAAATGTCATTTAAAAAAGAAATTTGACTATTCCCTGAGCTTACTAAAGATGATCATGATATCAAAAATAAGGAAGGCATAGCGTGTTACTTGACTAATTTATTTTAATAAGAAATGAAAGATGGTATCATTTATCAAAACCTCAGTTACAAATATAACATCAATAAACTGACGCATCAATCCACTAAATGTATCTTCTATTTCTAATTACAGTATCAATTATTTAGTGCCATCGTCGTCTTCTGCTTCATATCATGTTCAACCGATGATAGATCGGTTACCAAATCATGTTAAGGTTTATACAAGAAATCGACATCGAAGTTTTAAGGTAGTATATTTTCAAACGTACAATCTTGGCCTTTTGATTTCAAATTGCTTCACCTCATATATTAATTAATGTAACTACACAAAATACATGGAAGTTAAAAAAATGATTTTCGGCTTATATGATGGACAACTATTAGAACGGCTTCTATAGAAGATAATATCTGTGTAAACGAGTTTCAAAGAGAGAAACAGGAGACTTACTTTGAGACTCTCAATATGACCAAACCAAACGCTAACAGGACTATAACAGCTGCTGCTAAAACACTTCCAATTACCACCAATTCCCAATCTGGAAAGAGAAATCTCAAATGAGTTGTGTTACATATAACAAAAGCTATATTAGATTATGCTTTAGGTAATAGTCTGTAGTGAAACATCAAGAACCTCACAGGAAATTTAGGTGGGCAGTTTTTTTATTCTAGCTGCTTTGGAATTATCAAATGTTTTCAGGTCTGATGGACAATCGTAAACTTTAATCAGATTAGGCTATATCAAAATAAATGGTAAAATGGTATCAAGTGATAAGGATGCTCCATCATTGAATTAATATATATAAAAGGGAATTTAACAGCTCCGATGAAGCTGATTTTCTTTTGGTATAATTGAACACAAACTAAAAGACGTCAAACGTTTGTGCTATTTAAGTAGAAAACGTGAATAGAATTAATTTTAATGTTTTAACCGTATAATGAAATTAGTAAGCGACATGTTGAAATAGTCAAGTTAGGTTTGTGTGACAAGTAAGATTAGGTTATCAAACATACATAAATAGCCTAAAAGAATACCAATAACACACTTAAAATTATTGATATAATAAAAAATTCTTAACTTACTCGTGTTACATTTTTCACCCTGAAATCCACATTCTGGTTGACTAGGTGGTGGTCCTCCAGATAACCAACTTATTTCATTTATAGAACTTGGTAACATCATCTGTTAGAGAAAAACATCATTATTGTGTTTTGTAGTTTGATTGCTACCATTGTAGTTTATAATAACCGAAGACAGAGTTTCAAGTAAAAATTTGAATTGCGAAAACTTGGAAATAGATTGTCTTCTAAGTGTTGCCGAAATGGTAATTTCAAACAACAATTATCGTTCCATTTCAGGCATCACTGAATTAAATACGTTATTTGATATTCAAGACATTTTACAATGATACTTATAAACAATAAGTACCATCGTTCCTTGAAAAATATTGCAGCTTTGTATCAAATTTAAACGTATTCACTTTCAGTATATCAAGAGCGGTCACCAATCTGTGTCAAATCATACCACAAATCTAATTTGTGCAAGATATTGTTGATTTAACACACATCATTTAAAAAAAAATTCTGATATAAACAGAAACTGTCACCTCTATCGCCAACAAATTTTGATGCGTTTTTACTAAGTCAATGGCAATAACTCAAATTCCAATGATCGAAAAATTGTCAAATTCAATCTTGACTAAGATCTCATCATTATAAATGACCATACCAAATTTTATTTAAATCGGATGAAAACTGTACTCTCTATTGTGTTCACAAACAAATTTTGACGCGTTTTTCATACATCAAGGGCACTAACTCAAAAACGTTCATCGAAAGATGTCAAATTCGAACTTGTCTAAGATATCATTATAATTGATCACACCAAATTTCATTTAAATCAGATAAAAACTGTTGACTCTATTGCGTTCACAAGTCAATTGTGGACGGACGGACCGACGCACCGATGGACAGGGGCGATGACAATTTACGACCGCATTATAATGTGGGCATATAAAATCGGTTGCATTTTGTCAAGTCGCTTTAGTAAAAGTCACCAAACAGAGCTCAAACAAAACTCGATTTGTAATCGAACACTGATTAAAGTAATTGAAAGAGTGGAGTGAATTGTAAGGAGGCATGAATGAAGAGAAACCCGTCTGAAGAAGTTTTAATTGAACATTGAAAATACGAAGTTAACATTACATTCGCTGCATAATGTTCTGTCCCAACCAATGTAAATTAAGGAATAAAAAGTGTAATAAGATCTTGTTTGATTTGTCTGGTGTGATTAAAAGAAAGGCAATCAAACTGCAAGTGACACCAAACATGTTTCTTATTGTTATATTCATCTCAAGCGACATTAAGCATGAATTAGAAATCCTATGGTAACAAATGCATTCATCGAAACTGATAGCTACCGAATCATTAAGAAAATCTTATACAATAGCATAATATTGGATCAACTTTCAGACAGCAAATAAAACGCTTTTAAAATAAGAAAGAAATAACAAAGATCTTGTAAATTCGTGTAGAAATAAAGAGCATCTTTCTATAATGCGAGATTCCTTTATTCCAAACTGTACAATGTGTGTTTATACTCTGATTTAGCCTTTAACCTCACTTAAAGTTTGATAATGTGTATTGGAGTTCCAAAATATATGCAAAACGTTAACCCATATTCTACCTCTACATCATTTTTTATATATTCTCCACAATTTTCGAATTTTAATTTTTCATTTCGTTAAACAATTTGTGCCAGAACAACAATTATCTAGAACATATGTTAATTGTGTTGTGAGAAATCCATGTAAATCATGTTTTATTTCATCTCATTCCACGCTGTAGATACTTTAAGTGATTGAATTCAGTAATTGATGGAATGAGGTGATCAGATTGTAAATCGTCCATTGAGTAGAGAAAGAGGGCCCAAAACCTACACTCAAAGATAGCTTGACAGGCAAGGTAACATTCAAATCAATAGCAATAACTCAAATGCCCATCATCGAAAAATCATTGTATTGGAACTTTACTAAATTCTTATCAATTTAAATGATCACACTGGCGTGGTCAGCGTGGTAAATAGCCATAAGTACCCTTACAGCTATTTACCACGGCATGGTATGGTAAATAAAATTAGTCATGATTTGATATTTCTTCCGGGAAAAAATGTTAAAAAAAAATACCTAAATATTCAAAATAACGATTTTGCATTCAAAACAATATCGTGTTCATCAAAAATTCCGATATTTTCCTTCTTATGGAAAAAGGCTAACAATGTGAAATGTGCACAATATTTATATTTTTGAAACCCAAGTTTCATTAGAATCAATTGAAAACTGCATTATGTTCACAAACAAATTTTGACATGCTTTTCCTAAGTCAAAAATTGTTCATCAAAATATCATCTTATTCGAATTTGACTGAGATCTCATGAAAATAAATCATCACACCAAATTTCATTCTTCTCTATTGCGCTCACTAACAAAGTTGGACGCGTTTTTACTAAGTCAAGGGCAATAATTCAAAAACAGTTCATCGTCAAATTCGTACTTGGCCAAGATCTCACTGATATAAATCATCACACCAGATTTCAGTAAAATCAAATAGAAACTGTAGTCTCTATAGTGATCACAAGAAATGTGGACGGACCGACGGACAGGGGCAACGACAATATACGTCCACATTTACAAATGGGCTTATAAAAAGTCGAGTTCAGTAAAAGTACGAAGCTGATGCAATTGGACTTTAATGATGGACGACGCAGTTTTGAAAGTTTGGGTAATTTACACTTCACCGAACAAGTTTAATTAATAACAGCGTCAATTTACCGGTATTGAATTATTAGTTGACCTGGCGAAATCTGCTACAGCAATCATTTGACTAACAGCTTGTCCATTCTCTAACTTAATACCCATCAATGAATAATTACCTTCATTCTGACCATGTTTATCAATATACACAGAGAAACCTTGAATACCTTGAAACATAACCATCATTTGAATTATTAATCAAATTAAACATCAAAATAACAATAAAGTTCTACAGAGTTACCAAAAATGAGTTGTGATTTGTAAAGTTTTGGTGTCTACCAAACCTGACTCTGAACTTTGAACATATAATTACTCAGGTGTAGCTTACATGCCATGTTATGATGCATGAAAATGTAATGAGATGACTTATTACTTAACTGTTTTAATACGAGGAACAAAATAATAACATACTTATATATGACCGACCACGAAGTTTACTGATGACTTGTGAAGCATTTGTGATATCACCACCACTAGCCAACGTTTCATTTAGAGCTCTTGCATAAATCTTGACAGCATCATACAGGTAGGCTACTTTAATAGGTATATCAGGCTAAAAAAGAAATGAAAACACAATTGTGTGTCATAAATGTAACTAGTTATACATCTATTGCCAGGCTAAAGCCTATATATTTTCGCGATCTCACAGGTCGGTGTTCATGAACGCATACCCTAGCTGTACACAAGAGAATTCAAACAAGTGTGAGTGAAAACGAGTCAGTACGGAATTATTTAAATGATATGTTGCATGGTGAAAATTGAAATTTACCATCATAATAAAAATTGGTAGACAAAGTTCATGAACAAAAGGCAGGATGGTGTTAAGAGTCTTTCAGTAAACTCTACCTTCCAATGGTGACTAACTAAATGCATCATTTACTTTTTAATAATATACAAGAAAGTGGTCCCTTATTGTAGCATGCCGACTCAGTCTTCTGAATGATGTTGTGATGGATTTCGATTGTGTCAGTTTGTATATACTTACGATTTTCTCTTTTAGAAACGGGGGTGGTATTGGATAATAGATAGGATGAAGTTTATTTCGCTCGTGGATTGATTCCAAGAAACTCGTCCAATTCTTATTAGTTGTTGGTCTTAACGTCAGTATTAATACATTACGGAAAGGATCTAAATATTCCTTAGTTGGTGTTACTTTATTCAATTCTAACGGATCTGTAAAATAGGAAATGTATCACTATCTTAAAACTTCTAAATACTTTTTCAATTTTATTACTATCTCTTATCAGTTTCTTTGCCATGAAAATTGAAGATAATCTAACTAGGAAATGTCTTCTTTTGAAATTTATTTTGAAATAACTCATTTGTTTATGCAGAATCGGGAAGAATTCGGAATCAAGTAAACTGTGGTTAGTAAGATTGTGTGGTTACTTACTGTGCATAAAATATTCATCGTGGTTAGTAACTGGTTGTCTATCATCAACACCAATTAATACATAATCTTTTCTCTTCTCGCCTAATTTATCATACATTTCTCTTGCAAACTCTATTAAAGCTTGATAATCTCCCAAAAATACATAGACTTGAAGAAAAATGTGACAAATTAATAAGACGTTCAGAAGTATATGTACAAAAAAGCTTTCCTTTCCCTCTTTTCAAAAGATAGCTTCGCAGGCAAGGAAATATACGCCTACTGGCAGCTTTGATTTTATAAAAAAAGATAGCTTGCCAGGTAAGGTAATATACGCCCACTGGCAGCTTTGGTTTTGAATAAAAATATTTAGCAGTACAGTAACAATTACCAGTATGAAATATTCAACCTTCAGTCATACACTTCTTTTGAACTCTTTAGTGCGATACTGAATAATATCAAGTATGAGTTATTGCCCTTGTTCTTGAAAACGTGTTCAAATTTTAGCTCGTGAACACTCTAGAAGGCAAATATTCAGCGCGGGAGTGAATAATAAAACCAAGTATTGTCAAAATCCAGCGACAATCATGCCTTTTAGTGTTTTAGAGCTAAATTTGAAAGCGTTTTCAAGAACAAGGGAAATAACTCATACTAAATATTTTTCTTTTCTTCTGATTTTCAATAGGGATCATTCTTGGGTGGTCACTAACATTCACACCAAGTTTCATCAAAATCCGCCGAGAATTGTTCCTTCTAGACTTCTAGAGTGAAAATTGAACGCATTTTCAAGACCAAGGGCTCATACTAAATATTTTTGCTATTTTTCTGATTTTCAATAGGGTTTATCCTTGGGTGACAACAAATACTCATGCTAAAAATCTGTCAAGAATCGTCCCTTCCAGAGTGTTTACAAGTTAAAAATTGAACGTGTTTTCAAGAACAAGGGCAATAACTCATACTTAATATTTTTAGATTCTTCTGATTTTCAACAGAGTTCATTCTTGGGTGATTACGAACACTCACACCAAGTTTCGGCAAAATCTGTCAAGAATTGTGCCTTTTAGAGTGTTTACGATCTAAAAATTGAATGCGTTTTCAAGAAGAAGGGCAATAACTCATACTAAATATTTTTCGATTATTTTGAGTTTATCCTTGGTTGATAACAAACACTCATGCCAAGTTTCGTAAAAATCCATCAAGAATTGTGCCTTCTAGAGTGTTTACGAGCTGAAAATTGAACGATTTTTCAAGAACAAGGGCAATGACTTATACTAAATATTTTTCGATTCTTCTGATTTTCAATAGGGTTCATACTTGGGTGACTACTAACATTCATACCAAATTTTGTCAAAATCCGTCGAGAATTATGTCTTGTAGAGTGTTTACGAGCGATTGTGGACGGACGAACGGACATGGGTGACGGAAATACAGTGGCAGTACAGTAACAAAATGAAATATTCAACCTTCAGTCATACACTTTTATGGGCAACAGACGTTTGGCACTACAGTACAAGTAAAACACCTATCGAAAAGCTACACTGCTGATGAGCAATTGCGATTTGAACCCAGAAAATATTTATTGAATCTTTTGACAGAAATATCTGTATACTAAAGCTATTTTCAAAACTTGATTTGGGGCAAAACAGAAGAAATTCAAAGTTTGACGAAATAATAAATAAATATGTTTACAATTGCGCTTTAAACATAATTTAAAACAGTTATTTCACTTATCATTTGATTTACTGTTATTTATGACTGTCAATTATAAGCTGTTTTACAGAGGGTGTGGTTTGGAGGGGTTTCACAGTAAGTATTTTCTAAAGAGTACCAATGCTGTTACCCCTGCTAACTGTTCGTAATAGTCCTAAATTGTTCAAATTCTGTCCTGGTAGCTCTTTCTAGCTAAGAAAAGAAGTAAACCTTAGCCCTAAAAATATGTGTATTCGAGTTGTATAAAACTGCATCGAATCTCACTTTAGAAAGAAGTTATTATCCATAGTCAATATTTTTTATATTAACCTTGGTTGTTTCTTGTCAAAATGAAAAAAAAAATAGAATAGTATTTTCAGCTTTCTGAATCTAATTTCTCCAGCAAAATTCCTTCAAGTATAGAATAAACCTCAATCAACCAATAAATAGCTATTAACCACATAAGAAGGATTTTAGTACTTCCAAATTGCGTTATTTCTCTTCCGACTACTTCACAGTGGTTTTGACAGTAAAAGGCACTTAATAGTGACGACGAATTCAACTAGTAGATTAACTATAATGATGTACCTTAGAGATAATAGGACGTTGTTTAATTAGGATTATCAATTTGGAGCCTGATTGTATTGTAGAAGGTCACTGTCAGGTTAATTCAATGTCTTCAAGTCAATATGATGTTGATGATTAAATACTAAGAAACTATGACCGAGAATTAATGATTAGAATCAAAGTTCAGGATAAGTGGTGTTGTCATAAGCTTGAAGCTAGGTTCTTGTTTCCGAGAGTGTGAGCTGTCAATACATTATGCCAAACAACGATTCTAATAAAATGAACATAATTGATGATGGAGGTTTGCCATGAAGTGTTCTAGCTTTACATAGCTTCTTATAATGTAATATCCGTGAAAAATCATGAGAATGCATAATGTTGAGACGTTTGAATATAAATTTGAACATTGAGAACAACCTCAATTCTGACCTGTCGTAACAAAATGACAAAATGTAGCATTTTTTACTTAACGACACACTTTTACGAAATGTAGCAATCTTTGGATAGACTATGGAACATAGCTAACTTCGACAACAGGGCGTCACAAGTATCTTCTACAGGATGGTATCGACTTTAGAACGTCACAAATATCGACTCCAGTACTCCAGTAATATTGACTACTACGTCACAAATATCGACTAATATTATGTCTCGGGTATTTCATTTAAAAACACTAACATTATTAACCTAGTTGTTCTATTTTGAAATTTAAAAAACGTATGGATTAACATTTTGGCTACGTATCAACGTAGAGATATTTGAGATGGCCTTTATTTTAGGGACTAATTCGTAGTGAAGAGTTACCTACCCGGTATGTAATAATGTTCTGTTAAAACACTTTTCTCGGTGTTACTTAGAGAGTTGTGAACCAAAACTAATGACTGTTGATTAACAGCACCAAGTGTTTACTTTTTCTTAAATCCAGTGCGTTGTTTATGATTAGGTTCTTATGTTAAGTAATTTGATGACAAAACTAGATTTAAAACAATTTCACTTTTAACTTTGGCGGGTTCTATTGTAGGCTTACTTTATATTTTAAGAAAGAGATAAAAAAATTGTAAATATTACATAGAATCCTGACAGAGAATTTGAGGTTGGGGTGAACTAGACGTTCATTGTCACGATTTATTGAAAAATGTAGTAACTTTGTAGTCAACATACCTACTACATACAAACATGATCAACATGTATAGAAAATAACCATTTCAGTTACAGTAGTATGATACGGAGCCCCTTAAGCGCAATTTTCAACACAACACATTTTTATCACATATTTCGTTTAAACGAATTAATTATTTCGTTTATGATTATGATAACAGTAAATCAAATGATAAGTGAAATAACTGTTTTAAATTATGTTTTTGTTAACATCATTAGTACGCTATGACCATTGTTTCATACCTTCAACATTTAACAAGGACAGTTCTTTTAGAGCTTATACTATGGACAATTATTGTGATTAACATTTACCTCAAGCTTTAAATTCTGGCTGATTATATATGTTTTTTAAGTTAACTAATTTATACTACCCCTGTAATTGGACTAATGGATTTACATTGTTATTTAGATATGAACATGGTGGTATATAATTAAACACTAGTTCCCTCTATCCTTGAAATCATATATGGAAATAATGATAGCCAATGACAACGACTTCTTACTTCTGAACTTGAAGTCTGTTCGTTAGAACTAAACAATAAAAGATGACTATGGAGATTTACAAGTCTTGCAAATAAGTTAGATCATCCAAGTCTTTTTAATCTTTAAGTGGTATTATTTCACCAATGTAATTAGGAAGAATAGAAAGGGCATACATTATCTCGAGACAAGATATTGTTAGGATATTATAGATCACATTAAATAACACAACATGTAATATTATGGTAGCCTACACTACTCCCGTGTTTGATTGTACACAACGTTTCAAAAATTTACATTGTCATCATCTATTCCGTTAGTTAAGATATTGTAAGTGTATTTTTTTAGTGGTGATCTACTTTTAAACAAAACTGAAATTCTGATTATGGAGTATTTCTATACATATAATATATTCAATATTCCAGACACATATTATATACTAAACGGCTTCTTTGACGTACATCTATGTCATTTTCACTGACATCAGTTTTCCTTGTGATAATAGTGTTTTAATACATTACAAACGTGATTGAAAATCATTGTATATCACAGTGCCAACAGCTCACTAGCCTTTGATCTTTATAACCTTCCAAGACTGTTTGCTCCAGTTTTAAAAAAAACAAATTGCAAATACCACTTACTGAATTTTTTTTCCGTTGGTCAAGGAAAGAAGATTTATAATTGTTCAAAGAAAATACCTTGAAAAACCTTACTTGAAATTTTGAACTAAAAATCGAATGGAAAGGTGATCAATTTAATCTTTAGTTTTAACAACAGTATCACAGGACAATATGACTATTAAAAGTACTGATGAAGTACCAAGAGTTTATGTAGGTATTGGAACCATCTCGAGTGACAGCTGAACAGATCCAGCTACAATGGATTCAGGACTCCAATTTATAACAGCAAAATTACAATAACTTTATAGGCTATTAATGAGGTAAGGAGTAAATCGCAAGGTTTATTAAATATAAACGGCCTATAAATGAAATCGCATAACTGCTTCCTGCTTTCAAAATAGCCCACACTAAAATCGCTCGCGATAATGATGGTTATTTCAACCATAAATATACCTTCGTCCCTAAATAACAGGAACAAGAACATATTTCTGGGATGACATTTTCAGATTTTTTTAGTCTTTAATTGAGTCAAGACTGATTTGGCTCCATCCATTAGCCTCATTAGCCAATTTCTACCGTCCATCGATTTTTTAACATTTCCGGTTCGTTGTAATAATGGTCTCAGAAAACCTATCAAAAAAGTCTGACAGTAACGTCATTGCAATGATTAATATTGAGTTATTCAATTTGATAGTTATTTTATAAAATGCCAATATCCGTCTTTACAATATCCGTGTACATTTAGATGTAATGAATTTACTGAAGAGGGTCTTTCCCGATGGACATTGTGCATTGTCTGATTAACATCAATTTAAATTAAACCTATAGATTTAAAAATATTTGGCAGTACAGTAACAATCACCAGTATGAACTATTTACCTTTCAGTCATGATACTGAACAATATTACCAAGTTTTGTCAAAATCCGCCAAGAATCGTGCCTTTTAGTGTTTACGAGTTAAAAGTTGAAAGCGTTTTCAAAAGCAATGTCAATAACTCCTATAACACATTTTTTGATTTTCAATATGCGCCCCCCTCCTCCTCAGTTTACAATGAGAAAAGAAAATTGTGTAAACTTTCGTTGTAAATCCTAATCTGTTCTCTTTTGTATCATATCCCGATCCATAGCATAATATCAGCAGGTCTCTGGTAATATTTGTTATTATAATATTTGTATGTCGTTCCCTTCAACCCCGATATGAAAAAGATATAATTGTATGTAATATTTCATTCAATAAATCATTCTGGATATTAAATGGAATAAATTAACTTATATAACTGTTTATAGAACTCATGGACAAACTACTTATTTATGATATGAATGAAAAACGAGATATCTGGGATAACTATGTATACTTTATTAGCTCAAATTTGCAATTATGTTGGATCCTATATACTCAAAACAAGTATTTTGTCTGATCACTTTATTGGGCAATAGTCCAAAATCTTAGTTTAAGACATCTGGAAACAACTGTAATTAACTATTTAAAACGTCAAAATATTGGAGGAAGCAGACACATCACAAGAGATTATGGATATTAAAATGAATACAAATGTCAAAAATAATAATACCAGACTGGCATTATTTTGGAAGACATTAAACGATTACTCAAGTGGAAAACAGAAAAAAAACTGCAATAGCTTTCATTTTATAAAAAAAAAGCAGTCATGAATTCTAGACGTCATCAACTGAGGCATCACATTCAAGTTATACAAAGTATTAATATCAAAAATTTCATTTAGCCTAATATTCTAATATTAATATTCTAACATCAGTTAGTAAGATGGAACAAATCGGATCGCCTTGCATTTCAAAGCCTTATTAGTATTAGTGAAACACGTCTGTATATGTTAAACATTCCCCTGTATGTTTTAAAGTTACTTTCTAAAAAGATTTATGGATACCATGTTATTATGATTAGATGATGAATATAGAACATAAAGAATAAGCTGTTTGAAATCTGATTGAAATTGATAATATAGGTGATTTATTGTCAGTTAATTCACCCAGATATCAACGAGATAAATTCAGTGTATGGAAATGTATTCAGTTATCATTTGGGACATTATGTTTCTTGAAAGTCTGATTATTATAAGCCAGAAGAACCTTGTTTTGCTTGCGTTTTCTAATAAATAACTACACTTTCAGTTTAAGATATAATATTATTATAATTCCAGGACCAATTACGTCTTTGAAAATTAAGTTTTTGAACCTAAATCGTGGTCCATACATATCCTCTGACAATTGTAAGAAGAGTAGAGCAAAAAGTACCTGACATTGCACGGCGTTGTCCAAATTAATTACACCAATCAAATACATAAAAAGTAAAACTCCATAATACTTTTGTTAAATGATCTAGAAATAAGATAACCTTTTTTTGTTGATACTCTAAGTATTGGTTATCATGAAGACCAGTATCTATATAATCACAGAAGTCAACCTGTAGCATGTATTGGATTCTGACAGATGACATCTAACCTAGTGTATACATGTACTTAAGTTTTACTTACTTCTAGTCTTCTGTAAGGTATCTTTTAAAACATCATCAAAACGATTGTTCTTTGTTGCTAAAGGGTGAAAGAAGTCGATTTCTGAAGAGTAGGTTATATTATTTACACGGATATTGTTCAGTATTGCTAAATCTTCTAATCCTCGAGCTGTATCTCGCCATTTTAGCTCATGACTACTTATTATAGTAAAAGTATTCCATTTGAACTGATCAAATACCGAGATAATAAACTTAGAAACTTTGTAAGTTGATGGTTCTGTACTGACAAATGTATAAACACCGTATTGATCTTCAGGTAAAGCATCATGACAAGTCTGAAAACGAAATACAAGATATTAGAATGGATCATTTCTGCATGTAATAGTCTAACTATTCATATCAGACTAGCCATGTAATGAGAAAGACAAGTTTTAGCAAATGTGGAACACAGTTATCAGAATCGATTTAGGATTAAGTTTTGCCTTCGTGTAGTTTTCCTGGAATCTATAAAAGTCCCCCCCCCCCCCATGATCTCTAATCATTTAGAAATATTTCAGGCAATTCCGTGTGTAATTCTTCAATGTAATAGACCAGTCTTTATTTCTCAATGCCCATGATCTCTACAAGTTCTACAATTTAAGTCTTACGAAAAGACTAATCTTAAAATATTTCCGGTCTAATCAATCTATATTAGTCTATAATTTATTAATATCCGTTGGCAGTCAATAAATTTTGTCCAAGGATAAGTAGAGTTCATCTGAAATTCATCAACATTGACTAGAATAGAGCCATAGTTTTAATCTACAGTCCTTTGCCAAATCGGTATAAATCATAATGTGGTTTAAACAGCAATCCGAGAAAGACAGAGCCAGGACCCGAGAAGATTAAGCGCTTACCGATCAGTGCACAGCAATCGGCAAGGTATAGTAGCTCTAATTTCAAAAATAAGGCTCATTAAATAGAAACATGGGTTGTCGGAATAAGTCCTCGTAGTCGAGAGACAAAGAAGAGAGAAAAAACCAAGTTTGAAAGCAACAAATTGCACTGAAACGAGAACAACTGGTTTCATCTAGGGTAAGGAAAAATTACTAATGTTTGAATGTTCAAATGTAAAATCACTTCTGAACTATGGACTTTAACCCCAAGATTTGAAACGAGATAGCGCTAGCACACTTGCAATTCTTGAGATAATCGAATGTAACAGATAAAAGTGCACGAGCATAGTGGTATTATTGTATTACTATGTAGGTAGTATTGACGGATAGGTAGGCAAATGTTTATGATAACTGCAACCAAGCAATAAATATATACTTACATAAGCAATATATGGTAAATCAAAAGCTTTTGCTGCTAAAGCGGCTGAAGCACAATACCCATCTGGTCCAATTAAAGCAGAAGTACTCTTATCACAATAAAGATCTGCAATATGTTTTAGAGCTACCCATGATTGACCCATAGGATCACCAAAAGTGTATGTAAAGTTCAAATTGTCATATTCGCTGTTCACTTCATCCAAGGCTTTGAAAAATGCACCACCATATCGCCTCCCTTCACCATGGTTACTGATGTGTAAGAAAAATGCTATATTGATGGTATCATTGCCTTTTGGTTGAAGAGTTGTGGTATGACCATAAAGATCTGGTACAATTAATATTATACATAATGTTATTAACTGTACACTAACTGCCATTTTACTGCCCATCTAACCTTATTAATACATTAATAGTCTACTACCGGACACAATTCCAGACACAATTCCAATGTTTTGATATACAGCATACCATAATATTCCTTAATTCTTCTTCATAGTATGTTGCCTGAAATGATAAAATACCATTAATAAGTCTTGATATCGCAAATCATCATGTGACATACAATATTGTGTAAAAGAAAGGGCGTAAAATACCTCTTCGCATCCCACAATACTGTCACACACTGTTCTGTATAACTTTATACAATAGACTCAGTACATCACCTATCGTGACACATCGGATTTCTACTAGTATATATGTGATGCACTTCTTTCTAAATTCATGGCTTCGTTTCAGTCCATCTTTTTGATAGCTCAAAACATTGGCGTACCCACAATGTAGGTTAGAGTGACAAATGATTGCTAAAACAAAAGAAATCTAATCATTTTTAGTGTCGTTTTATTTGGTGTGTGTTAAAACCATATTATATAGAATAAAATAATTTTTGCACTCTATCGACCAGAGTATATTCACATTAATAAGTAAATATATATGAAATGTGGTTGAAACTGGTGAATGACCAAACCTCTCGGCAGTATCATACCTATTTACGATGAATTATAAGCTAGAATGATGAAGAAGGGTGATAGTCGTTGGATTTTCACTAGTCAATCTTCCCTAAAGCTCATCATAGAATCATTATATATTCTTTAAAAAAGGCGAGTAATTGAGGTGAAGGCAAACAGTACTGCAACTCATAAATAACTTTAATTTGATTTAATGTGGCGCAACGATGTTCATTAACAATTGAAACGTAGTGTGTTAGTTAATGAGTGGTTCCGGTCATTAAAGTTCTCGATATTATGTACTAATTATAACATGTGATTTGCATATTTACATAATAAAGAAATAAACTGCATGTTACAAGATGACATAATATGGTCATGATAAATCACCATTCACCATGCCTATTATTCCCTGTAGAATTATTTCTTTCAGTATTAAGATATTGGTGAAGCGCAGTACCGAAACGCTGAAGAATGGCATATTGCAGGTAATTGTTAACTGTTAAAGAAAATAGTACTAAACCATTATTATTATCAGTCAGTCAAGTACAAATTTGTTATTTCAATTAACAGTACTAAATTGTTTAACAGAGAATCGAGACATTCCAATCACTATAGTAAGGAACATTGCACATAATCCGTTGTAAGAAAATATTTACTGGTTACTGATCCACAAAATTACTTTATATTCATCATTACCTCAAGCATTGTAAGATCTCGTTTGAATTTACAATAAATTATTGAACAGGTGAGATAAGACAACCGTGTAATTCTACCATTCCCCTTGTTATCCCACTTGAACCCAACAAATGGTAATTAAAAGGTCTATATCATACCGTACCGTCTGTGTTATTAGTCTCCACTGGGTTTAAACAATATCACTTTGAAGCCGACACAAAAGTTTCTAAAATTATCAGTTTGAAACTGTGAACAAATACAATATAGATAATAAAACTTTCTGACTAACCACGTCAATCTTTTACCTTTAAATTTAAAATACATGAACAAAACACAAAAAACAATAGGTAAAAAATGCCTTTTCTATTCCATTCGCTTGTATAATAGTATGATAGTAAAAGCTCCTGATAAGATCAATTGTTACATTATTTACTATTTCAAATGTTGTGAAAACCCAGCTTGAATTCAAAATGACTCCATTCACAAAACTATTACCAAAATTGAAAAAATTCTATTCCCCAACGATCTATAAAACTTTATAAATTTTTCTCGATCATTAAATCCATAGATTTTTCAAAATTAAACTATCTAAACTAGTATCTACACTCAACTCCTTAAAATTAACATCTATACAGTTTGTGTATTCTGTACCAAAATAATCAACTCGCAGCCTTTGGTCCATCAAAGTATCAGCTAATGTTGAAGTAAAAACTTTCACAAATTTGTATAAAACAGTATGTTTATCAAGAATGTCAAGATTGGCAGATTACCCCTTTCAGAGCCTAATAAAATGAAATATTCTTTTAACCAGATCCATCATCAACTAATATAAACTTTGAACATATCAACATACCCCCTTTCACAAGACAATGTATCTATTTCACAAGACAATGTTACTCTATTTCACTAGAAAATGTTACTCTATTTCACAAGACAATGTTACTCTATTTCACTAGAAAATGTTACTCTATGTTACTCTATTTCACAAGACAATGTTACTCTATTTCACTAGAAAATGTTACTCTATGTTACTCTATTTCACAAGACAATGTTACTCTATTTCACTAGAAAATATTACTCTATTTCACAAGACAATGTTACTGTATTTCACTAAACAATGTTACTCTATTTCACTCTATTTCACTAGACAATGTTACTCTATTTCACTAGACAATGCTACTCTATTTCACTAGACAATGCTACTCTATTTCAGTAAAGATTTTATCAAGTTGCATCATGATTGGTTATAAACTTCTGATAAATTTAATTAGTGTCATACAAAGCTAAATCCATTTCATCACGAAACTTTTAGCACCAGTCTGGAGTTAAATTTAATATAATTATATCAAATTTAGTACATTAAAAATACAAATTCGTTAATGCGGAGGTTCATTATATCAAGTGACACTGCTGAATTTATCAATTTTAGATTTAATATTAACTAAAATGGATATATTGAAGCGACAGTGCCAGGTGGAAGTTAAGCCTTCCAGTCAAAGCCATGATGTTGTTGTAAGTTGAAAGGCATCATACGAGGGGTGATTTTTTGTTTCCTTTGTTTAATAAAACTTACTTTAAAGACGCCCAAGGAGAATATGGGATGAACCAGCTGAATTATCAAATTAAACTAAAAAAGTTAATGGTTAGAACAGAAAAAAAAAATTAAGATTTCACTTTTAAAATAACTTTGATAACACGTGAATGTTACTAAATGTGGTTTTGCATGAGAGCCAATATAAGCTTAAAGTTGAGTTTTATTTTTCATTTTTTAAAATTAAAATATAAACGTTAATAGTACGTAAATAAAAAAATCTCGAAATCCTCCAACTATAAAAAGAATTAAAATTGAATGTGTCATTGAACAACTAAATTATAGAGTAATTCCACAATGTACAGCGTACACTTCTTTCCACTTCAAAACGCTTCTGATGGAATTTTCTCGTGGAATATTTGATTTTCAACAGTCGATGTGTGTTCAACCCATACCAGATGGTTGCATAATAAAATGTGTCCATTTTATGTCAGCTTATCCGATTTGAGACTCACAAATCCAGCATTTAGATTTTGTTTTTTGAAAAGACTTCGGGAGAATGCACATTCAACCTGAATCATTGCATTCATGATAAATAGAAGCGATATTTTTTAACTGATGTATATCATAGATGTTTTTCCGTCACCCTAAGCTTCTATTTTAAGCTCAATACCGTTTTAAATTCAAGAAAGAAAATAAATAATTGCTTGTCACAAACTAGACGTTATAATGCCTTTATTTCGTGCCGTTTTTTTTTTAAAAAAAATCTTAATCAAATTGAAATTTTCTACACATAAATCACGAATAGCTGATCTATAAGGAAATATTTCTCTTTAAAGAATTTATTCATTCATAGTTGACAACTAATCTTTTTACTGCATAGAGATAATGTCTAGCTTTATTCATAACAACGTTGCATGGCTATAATAACTACGTCGCAATTTCTAAATGGGAGAAGAATACTTATGATTTAGGCAGTTTCTAACGGAGAAGAGTGCTTACAATTTAGGCAGTTTCTAATATTATCTTTCGAGCAGCGACCGAAAAAGTGTTTTCTTGTGATTCTCTATTGTCTATTTTCGTTTTGACGAAGATAAAAATAAGATTGTATTTTATCAGATCTGAAATCTTGAAGTCTGTCAATAAATTACGCATTCCAAATCACATATGACTTCTTCCATAAACCTTGTACACTTTTCATTTATCATCTATTATGAAAAAACGTTTCCTATACGTCATTTACTTCCTATCAACATCTGATATTGACTTACATTATTGAAGTTGATATAAAGATCAAACGTGCCGATATTATCAATCTATAAGAAATGATTCGATTAGGGTGTATATAGTATAACTATATTAATATTGTCTCACATTCTCTGTATATGATTCCTGAAAATAATAATTCATTCATAGCGTGGCTTCGTTTATAACACAATTCACCAAACTGATTTTATATTATGATTAGCCTAGTTTTCAATATTTAATATTTGTTGTTTTACGAACATCCAAGAATGATTAAACATAATATTAAGCATGTCACACAAAATAGGTCAGAATAATGCAGGGAAGCAGTTGTGGAGCCAAGTTTATGTCCGTTTACGGCGAAATATCAGAGATTGTCCGAATTTCTAACCTAGTTATGAGAGTTTTGCCTTTTTTTGTCTTGGCCTTGCCCGAAAATCTGCGAGCGGTGGCGGCTGCTACCCCTCCACCCCTTTTTGCTCCGCCACTGCAAGGAAGATAGCATGGAGTGGCGATGATCACATAATAAGATAAGACACTGCTTAATCCGTCAAAACGAAATTTTTAATCAGTCCATTATTGTGAAAAAAATATGTTTTCGTTAAAAAAGAAATTGTGACGGGGAATGACAACAACATCGACCAAAATCCTGTAGTAATTGGCTATGATGTGGTGTATAATAATCCACCATCCCTCGAGATGTCCAAACCATCTTATACCTTCCATAGGAATAAATAAATATTAACAAACACTGGTACCATACGTCCATTAATCTGCAAATGGGCAGTTTGTGTCGTCTTTAAGTGAACATTATCTCAAATCTCAGTACAAATTAGAGTGTTATTACTACAGAGACACGACTTAACAGATTCTATTTCATTTCCATTATTCATTATTAACACCTGATATAAAAATCAAAGTCAAACCACTGGTTTAAATAACTCTAACCAGGAAGCAAAGTTATCGGAAATGTGTAACC